GGTATAAAATCTGCCAAGTGGTGGTCATTGGTTCCAATTCAACATCAATAGAAATCTTCCATTTGGGGTGTGATGAAGGGGGAGACTTTATTTAATACAAACATCTCAATTGTGATAGCTCATGGCTGGAAACCAAATGGCTGTGGAATAGCTCAATATTGTTACAGCTCAATTATGAAACAGCATGGCTGTGGACAGCATATCCGTGAAGTGGCACTGGGCATAAGCTGGCTCAGCCCAATGTTGTGCCTTAGCCAGGGGTTGCCACTTGATTGGGTGTTGCAGGTTGACCTCTTTCAAGCTAGACACTTCGGCTCTGCTCAGCTCTGGTTCACTCTGGTCTGCAGAAACAGGACAACTTTACTCCTGTCCAGTGAATTGTCTCTGGTGTTTCGTCTCTAGCTGGAAATGCAGTCTTAGGAGGAGAGGAATGTGAGCCCCATTGGGGGCTGACTATATAGAAAGAATTCTGGCCCCTGCTCCCTGATTTGTCTGTTCTGATGAAAATTGAAAACTCTAACCCTAGCCAGTCTGATTCAGTGGATAGAGTGTTGACCTGCAGAGTAAGGGTCCCAGGTTCAATTCTGGTCAAGGGCACATCCCTGGGTTGCAGGCTCGAGTAGGGGGCGTGCAGGAGGCAGCAGATCAATGATTTTCTCTCATCATTGATGTTTCTATCTCTCTCTCCCTCTTCCTTCCTCTCTGAAATCAATAAAAATATATTAAAAAAAAAAAAGAAAATAGAAAACTCTAAACATTCACAGTTTGGTCCAAAATGCACTGTTCTGATTGGTTGAAATAGAGCCATTCTGATTACTAAAGATGCTAATGAGGATATAGCTGCACAGTTCTGATTGGATGGGGAAAGTCTCAGTCCTATTGGTTGAAATATGATTTCAGGAACTCCTTTATTTAATTAAATAAATAAATTAATTTTTTGTTAATCCTCACTGGAGGATTTTTTTTCCATTGAATTTTAGAGAGAGTATAAGGGAGGGGGAGAGACAGAGCGAGAGAAACATTGATCTGAGAGAGGCACACCACTTAGTTGCCTCCTGCACGTGCCCCATCTGGGGCTGGGGTTTGAACCTGTGACACTCCATTGCTCAGGCTGACACTCTAACCACTTAGCAACCATGGCTAGGGTTGCCTCTGTTGTTTTGTAAAATGAGGATGATAGTGTAACCAGACAAACAATGGTTTGTCTCTCTCATGTCACTATTCAATCCAGTTAAGCAGAGCAGGGTTGAATCATATATGAGCGTTTATTCCAATATTGCCGTCAGTATGGGAGAGCAGCAGGTCATCCATAAAAATCTGTTCTGCAGCCCCCCTCACACCCCCATAAACTGACTGCTTATATAGGTAGAAGTTTAAAGGAAAGTAGGCAAAAGGGCAAATGGGCAGTTTACAGATATGCAAAGAAGGGCTGGGGATCTTCAAAGGGCTTGGTGATATGCAAGGGCTGGGGTTACATGGGGAAATAAGGAGAGGGCAGGCCAGGCTGGCAGTTAATAGGTAAGCAAAAGGTCTGGGATCTTCAAAGGGCTTAGTTATATCCAAAGCTTGGGGTCTTCAAAGGGCTGGCGATTCTGGATTCTGCTACAAAGTTGTTAATCTTTCCAGGATAATCAGCAGCTCCAAATGGGGAGGGTGGGTTACACTTCAAGGTAAACTCCCAGGTCCTGAGTGCAGCTGCCAGGCAGGTTAGAATGTGCCTTATTTAATTTGAATAAAAGAATCACAGTTAACAGAGCATGATTAATATTTCTTACAATACTAGCTGGTTCCCCAACATTCTATTTCTGCCCCCTTTCAATAGTAGTACCTGTCATCATAGTGTTTGTAATGATTAATTCTATGTCAACTTGACTGGGCCACAGTGCCCTGATATTGGGCCTCACATTATTCTGGATGTTTCTATGAGGGGTTTTTAGGTGAGATGAACAGGAATTAGTAACACTGGAATTAGTAACATTGGAATTAGTAGAGCAGATTGCCCTCCACAGTGTGGTCAGCCCGGTGTAATCAACTGAAGGCCTGAATAGAGCAAAAGTGATGTCCCCTGAGCTAGAGAGAACTCTGCCAGCAAACCGCTGCATCAGCTCTTCCCTGGGTCTCCAGTCTGCCAGCCCACCCTGCAGATTTTGGACCTGCCAGCCTTCATAATTGTGTGAGCCAATTCCTTAGACCAAATCTCTCTCTATATATACACACATCCTATTGGTTCTGTTTCTCTGGAGAATTCTGTCTAATACTGACTTGTCATTAGGGTTAAATAATTTATACATGCAATACTCAAAGATTCGGACAGGGGTGGGTGGCCGCACTAGCAGACTATAACTTCAGTGTTTGCACCTGTCTGGGTTCAGCTTCATGGATGCCTATGTTCTCTTGCTCTTTGAACATACCCGGGGCTACTGAAAATACCCCCATTCCCTCAGCAATCATTGAGGGCAATTTGGGGCCCCCAAAGGTCAGCCACTGTTTCTGTCATCTGAAAGGGACCAGGATGGGGCTGAAATTAGTCTGTCTGGCATGGCTTGGAATGCGTGGGTTCCTGACTTTGTGCAGGAAAGAATTGAAGACATGGGTGTAGGTGATTTTGAGAGTATGTTTATTAAAGTGTGGGATGGCGAAACAAAGGAAGGGCTTAGGATAGGAGAAGCAAGATCACAGTACCAGAAGTGAGTCTAAGCCAGTGGTTCTCAACCTTCTGGCCCTTTAAATATAGTTCCTCATGTTGTGACCCAACCATAAAATTATTTTTGTTGCTACTTCATAACTGTAATGTTACTACTGTTATGAATCCTAATGTAAATATCTGATATGCAGGATAGTCTTAGGCGACCCCTGTGAAAGGGTCGTTCTACCGCCAAAGGGGTCGCGACCCACAGGTTGAGAACCGCTGGTCTATGTAGACCATAGTAGCAGAAAGGAAGTCCTAGTAACAGAATTAAGCCTAGGTAGGTCTGCTTTGTGTTCACTGAAAAGTTATTAAGAGGAGGGATCCCACAGCTTAGGAGAAAGAAAGTAAACTTATGTGCATGAGGACAGGGATGGGGCACATGCATGCACTGGGCCCTGTGGGAAGCTATTTCTGTCTTTTGCAGGGAATTTTAAGGAAGGCCTCACTCAGAATATTCATCAGCTTTCCAGGTGTGTCCTTTAATATGCTGATGCATCAATCTCTGCTCAAATTCACCTCTGTCTTGGATTTGTTAGGCTCTAATTGTTTTTTCTTTCTTTCTTTTGATTCCCCTGACTTTATTCATTTGGGTTTGGCTGGCACTAATGGCACTAACTGGGTCTCTGTTATCTATCTCTCTGACTGGGGTTATTTAAGCTCCCTGCTCTCTGGCTGGGAAGGGACATGTAAACCATCAGCTGCTAAGGGTCCTTGGTTAGGGAGGAGAGGGACTTGTGATTTATCAGCTGGATGTTAATTGCTCAGCAGTTCCTGTAACTAGTTTGTCTCATTCCACTAGTTTTTTCTCCTTCCACTTGTCCAGGAATTTTCCTAGCTTCTTACTATCCTGCCTGGCATGGCAGGAAGTGGGAGGTTGACCCCTGCAATGACTGTCTACCTTGCTGCCCCACAATCAACAGAGCCTCAGCTGGGAGTTAAAACTTGGAGGACTGTGCCTGGGACAGGCCCTGAGCTGCTGGGCTCCACCTGCGGCTTCCTGTGGAGAGGAGCTGAACTTCCTCTACAAGATTCTAGATTTTACCTTGAGAATGAAGTAAATTAGAACCAATAAATGGGCACTGTCCGTGCAATGTGACACCAGTGCAGGGTGTGTCCTGAGAATATTCTTCCATGCTTCTCAGGTTCTTACAGGAGACCTTTGGCCTTTTGATGAAGAAAGAAGCTCTAAGACATATTGGCATGTTCCTTTATTTCTCTTAAGATAACTGAGGACATCAAATTAAGAATCAAATCATATACCTGCCACCTTCAGCAGAAAAGTGGGGACACAGGATTACACTTAAATCAACAAGTTCATTGTGTAAGCTTTCTTGTTCTTGGAGGTGGAGAGCCAGAGTCTTGGGTTCAGTGTCCTGACGATATCTTGCTTTCTGCACAAGTTTACCTGCCTGGGGTCAGAAAGCAGCCATTGTTACATGAATCTTAGTAAAAAGGTACCCTTCTCAAGTACAGGTGTCTTGCTAGACTCCACTTCCATTAGAGGACAGCTCCAAGAGCTGGGACACAAAGTTCCAAGAGCTGGGATCCAAAGTTCAGTAATAATCTCATTCAGAAGAAGGTCCTGACAGAGTCAGCCAAATGTATTGAACATGTTAGCAATGTGACCTGAGCAAAAAGTAATGAGTCCAGGAGGTGGCTCCTCTGCATATTATTATGAAACAACTGGGACTTATATAGGGGCACAGGCAGTGGTACCAAAGTCGGGTGTAAGGGGATGGAATCACTTTCCACAGCAGGAGTTATCTAAGCTAAGACCGGGATCCATTCCCCCTGTGGCCTTGATCTTCACCTCACCTGTGGCTCTAGGAATCCAGTAGACTTCAGAATCAACAAAAAGCACAATTTGGGCTAATAGACAAACCCGGCTCAACATGGACAAGTGAAAAATCTGTTTTTGCCCCTACTCCTAGCCATTCCAAACCTTCCAGGTGTCCATTTCCACTGTCTGTCTTCAGCCAGAAGTGACCTTTTTGCATCTGGATGGCACAGGGAGGGCTGTGGTGGCCACTGGACAAGGCTCTTTGGTGAGGCTTCTACAAGGTTGGAAGACGTCCTGCCAGCTTCAGAGGCACATTCCTCCAGAGGCTGTCATTCTACCTAGATAGCTGGCCTGTGAGAGCCAAGGGAGGCAGCCTGGAAGTCCATGTGGCAGCACTGAGCATGGACATGTAATGCCCAGCAAAGGCATCATCAAAGCACCATAACTTTAGGGCTAGAAGGCAATGTGTTTGCGTATTTATTTATTTATTTATTTATCTTCACTTAGGACATGCTTAGAGAGAGGGGCAGAGGGAGGGAGGGGGGAAGAGAGAGAGAGAGAGAAACATTGATGTGAGAGAGAAATATCAGCAACATTATAGGTTGCCTTCAATACATGCCATGCCCGGGAATCGAACCCGCAACCCAGGTATGTGCCCTGACCAGAATTCGAACCAACAACCCTGCAGTGAACAGGACAACACTCAGCCAACTGAGCCACTCAGGCTGAGCAATGGCAATGTGTTTAGACATGAAGAAACTTAGACCTAATGCCTGGACAGTCAGAGCCAGGACTCAGAAGCAGGTATTCAGACTTCAGCTGCCGAGCTTGTCAATAGCTCCCCTGGTCTCCTCCACTGCATCACTTCTCCTCGAGTTCCTCAATTAGGTGAGGATGGATCTCCTTCAGGGCTCGGTAGAGTTGATCTTTGCAGGCCCAGTCCCAGGACTTGATGATGCTGAACAGCTTCCTCATCCTGTCTGGATTGGTGGGCTCAGCCCGCACCCTCTCATACTGCTCGTCTCTCAGCACCTGTCCATGCAGCTTGTCTAGGATTGCATCCACCGATGTCACACGAGCCACCAGCTGGGCCCGATGTTGGTCCACAAAGTGCAGCAAGTCTGGAGCATTGGGGGGTGAAGGTGAGGCTGACAACGAATAAAGAAGGGTTCTCAACACAGTTTCTGCATCTGATCCCCACCTGTAGTTCTTCACTCACCTGATCTGCATCCTTGGCTCTCCCCCCTCCCCCCCATGAAAACATTCAACCACAGAGAGGCACCTCTGCCTACCCTCAAATACCTGATGGAGGCATATTAGGTTGCCCATGGAAGGTGCCAGGGCCTCCATGGGCAGAAATAAGGGTGATGGGAAAGGACTCTGCCCTGGGGCACACACCACTCTCCAAGTACCAATCCCTTGTGAGATGTGAAGAGTTCCCTTCTTTCTCTCCTCCCTCCCTCCAGGACCAGGTAGCACACTCCAGAACTGCCATGCCTCCTGTGGTCTCCAACACTGTCACTGACCTGTTGGGGCTTGAGGGACCAGAGTAGCTGCAGGTCTGAGGTCTCCTGGAGGAAAAAATATATGAATAAGCATCAGTATCAGTGGTAGTTATTAACACAAATGATAAGCCTTAAAAATCCTACCCATGTCTCACTTCTGAGATTCTTTGATTCCTAGAAGTGGCTACAGACTAATCCTGATAGGAGTTGGAGTAAGCATTGCAAGGGCCTTATAAATTATGTAGGGTAATCCCTTCCATATGTGTATGGAGAAACTGAGGCCCAGAAGCCATCATCATAGACAGAGAGACAGAGTGAGAGGAAAAGTTCTTCCTCAACAATGCAGACATGGTTTAATTTAGTCTTGACCTGAATGGAACCCTGGTGGAGAAATAACCGAGACCCTTACAAGGTAGCTTCAACTATGATATCTCCTTATTTTAAGCAGAAGGTTCCCTCTTTGTCCTTGGCCTCTAGACTCACACTGTTCTGAATTTTGATATCAGAATAAAGATCAAGAAAATCTTTGCACTAGGGTAATGGATGCATTTCAATGGAAATAAGAAACAACAACAAAGGAAGGGGGTTAAAAAATTACTTGCATTAGGAAAGAAAGGGGGAGTACACAGAGCCCCTGTGGACAGGGTCTAAGGTTTTGAGAGGACACAAGTTCAGTGTGACCTGACCGTATGGGAGGGAAGCCAACCACAGGGGAGCTCGGGTTGTGGTGCTGGGAGCAGCAGGTTCACTTGGATGGAGGGAGGAGGGTGTTCCATGTCCTCCATGCTGACTGGGTAATCTTAGAGTCCATCCTGACTTGTCCTCATATGGGCACATCTACTGAGGAAGGCGACTGACAAGGCAAAGACATAAAATCCAAAATATAAAAGGAATGTTAGAAGAAAATAGAGATGTTTAACTTGCACAGGAGGAGATCTAACATAGGCCGTGATCTGTCTTCAGGTACCTAAAGAGGTTTCTCATAGGAATGCAGCTAGATTCTTCTCTCAGTTCCAAGAAGCAGAATTAAGATTGAGAGGAGGAAGAGGAACACTTAATAGGAGAAAAATTAACAATATCAGTACTATTTATAAGGGCCAAAGCATGAGATATGTACATACATCGTGTATTTAATCTTTCCAACAATCCTACAATTTAGACAATATAACCCTCCTTTTATAAATGAGACTCAGATGAGTTAAGTAATTTTCCCAAGATCACCCAGCAAGTAAGTGTCAGAGTGAGATTCAAATGAGGTCTGATGCTGGGGCTGATTAGTCCACACCTGTGATTACACCCAAGCCATGACTAAGTCACAACCATTCTCTTTCTCTGCACTGGGAAGACTGTTTGTAGCAACTCAGAAGGCAGATTTACCATATTTCAACAGCGAACATGGGCTGGTTTTTCCTAGAAGGACTTTTTAGGGGGATTTTCTTCTTGGAAGTGTTGGTGCTGGTTTAAAAGACTATAAAATTGCAATCATTCCTGAAACTTCATTATTTGATTCCCCTTTGTCTACTTTGAAATATCTGAGTGATCCAGGTTAAATGCATGTGCTATTGCCATAACTGGCTTAATTCATACAACCATATAACCGTCTAGTTATTATTTTCTCATCTCATGTCCAATCTATTATGAGAAACTTTGCCAAATGCCTTGTGAGTTTCAAAATCTGTTAAATCAAGGTCAGTGTAGAGACACCATGGTGCATGGGAGAGGGAATGGAGCTTAAAGTCAGATTAACTTGAGTTCAAATTCTAGTCATGCCAACTGTTATATAACTAGAAAAAGTCACTTCCCGGGGCTATTTCTTCTCATCAGAAAATTGTAATCACACACACACACACACACACACACACACACACACACACACACACATAGAATATTTTATAGACTATCTGTTTCCCACTACTGAGTTCCCTGAACTTGTCTTTACTTTACCTGATTTCACCAAGGCCTCCCATACCACAGTCGCATCATTTTTGCTTTTAATCTGTAGCCGGATCCCCGACCCCAGATGACCAACGTAAAACTCAGAGAAGAGCTGGGGTATCCCAGGGCTTCGATAGCAGAGCTCCAGTTCCTGTAGAAACAGTGGTGATGTGAGAAGCCTCAATTCATCCTGCAAGTGAGGTGTCTCCCCACCTGACACCTTCTTGGCGCTGCTCAGCCCCATGGGGACCCTTGAATGATCTCTACTGAAATTAATGCCACTTCAGGCACTGCTCATTTCCTCATTTTTCACAAATCCTGACTCAGAAGGAAGAGGACATGGCTGGGTCAGGACTCATCTCTAATGTAGTGCTCACACATCTTGAACCAGATCCTTCTTCCTCCACCTTGAATCAGATCCTTCTTCCTCCTCCTCTATTTTGAACCCAAATTCACATTTCTCCAGCCCAAAGCCTGTCTTCTCAATGTGTCCTAAGTTTGAAACACTTTCAATCAACACAAAATTCATGTGCTTGGCACACTTTCAATCAAAAGAAAATTTATATTCATCCCCTTTGCTAAATCACATTCAAGATGACTCTTGATTCCCAACTGTCTTTCATAAATGTTCTCTTCCCATTTTCCCCACACTCAGTAGATAGCACTACCACCCACTGAGCACTCATGTTTCAGATTCAGGCATCATCCTTAACTCCTACCTTTCACTTTCATAAGCCAAGTCCTATTGGCTGTATCTGCAAATATACACTCAGTCCATCAACTTATCTTCATCTCAGCTGCTTCTTCCCTAATCAAGGCATCTGCGGCTCCTGCCTGTACCATAGCAACAGTCTTTTGTTTTCACTCTTGTCTTCTTATCACCCATTCTTACCCAGCAGCCAGCGGCATCTATGTGAAACTAAAGTAGGTCTTGTATTACCAAGCAACAACCTCTGAGATCTTGTTATTGCACTTAGAACAAAATCCAAAACTCCACATCAAGGCAACAGAGTTGATGGGCCCTAGGAAACCTCTGTCTCTTGTGTGACCCCACCTAACTTCTCTCTTTGCTATACTCAGTAAGCTGTGCCACACTGTCCTATTTGTCATGTGGAGGAATCAGGGTGCCTGCTCCTCTATCCTCTGGACCTGAAGTGCTCTGTTACAAATATTCACCTCCTAGGGCCCTTCTTGTCACTCAGGTCTCAGCTTATATGTCACTACTCAAAGGCTTCTCCCCTGACCACCCAGTATAAAGCAGCCCAAGTCACTCTCTTAATTGCCATAGTTGTATTTTTCTCACAGCACTTCATGGTTCTTGGTCCGTTTCTTTAATGATATAGGTCTCATCCACCAGAATGTCATCTTCCCAAGGGCAGGGCCTTTCTGTCTTGTTCACTGGACTATCACAGATGAAGACAGCACATGGTTGCACTGGGTAAATGTGTGGTGAATGACTGAGTCATGTCTCTCATCCCTTGTTAAGATCTGACACAGCAGGATTCATTGTTGGATTCATGTTTCTCAACTCAATATATATATAACATTTCCTCATTACTCCTGGAAATGTATTCCATCTGTCATTGTCACTTCAACTGGTCCAAGGACTCATCTCAGAACAGAAGAAAAAGAATTGAGTCTAATTCAACAACAGACTATCATTCAGGTGAAACTCTGATCCTCAGCAGCAAGATCTTGGCCATGGTGAACATTTGGATATCATGGATGAATGCCCACTGGCCTGACGCCATTCCCTTTGGTGAAAAGGGGAGACTGAGAAAGGATAGAAGACAGCTCCTGATGTCCAGACCTGATGTGATGCTCACCACTAGACCTCATTGTTATTACAAACTAATATGATGCTGCCATCTCTGCTGTGTTGTCCTCCTGTTGGACATATACAATCTCACAATCGCCAAACATCATTCCATCCCACTGCAGATTTGACTATTTCAGCTATTATATCTTCACACTTCATTGCCTGCCCATCCTAGAGAGAAAATGTGTAGAGGTTCCCAATTATAGAATTGCCCTATCTTCTCAGAATACCAGATCTAGACCAAATCTCCATTTCCTTTGATCTTTCCCCAAATTACCTAAATCCTGAAATAGGTTCTTTCTGAATCTCTTAATCTGAGGGGCCCCATGGTTCTCACTAGTGTGTGTTTTCTCACTGCAATGAATAATAACCCCAGTGTTCAGCTATGGATGTATTCCTGGTGGTTTTGCTTGGAGAGCATCAACACCCTACAACCTAATACTTCTCAGTTCCCCTAAGTCAGCGGTTCTCAACTTGTGGGTTGTGACTCCTTTGGGGGGTTGAACCACCCTTTCACAGGGGTCGCCTAAGACCATCGGAAAGCACATATATAATTACATATGGTTTTTGTGATTAATCACTATGCTTTAATTATATTCTATTTGTAACAATGAAAATACATCCTGCATATCAGATATTTACATTATGATTCATAACAGTAGCAAAATTATAGTTATGAAGTAGCAACAAAAATAATTTTATGGCTGGGGGTCACCACAACATGAGGAACTGTATTAAAGCGTCACAGCATTAGGAAGGTTGAGAACCACTGCCCTAAGTCAAACCCCATTCCTATTCCTATCCTGAATGTAACCTTTCATCCTAGTGATTTTTTTCCAATTTTTGAAGGATTCCTGCTCACCCCAAATCCCACTCACTATCTGCCAAACCCCAGTTGGGCCTGTCCCTTGGAAAGCTCTGAGACCTGACCCACAGGTATTCCCAAGCATGACCTCTGGCCTTACGGAGGGGGGAATATCTGGACTGCTCACCTCAGGGATTATTTCCATTTTCTGCGAACCAGACACAATATATCGGGAACCTATGCGGAGCGGAGTCAGCGGGGGTGGCTTGTGTATTCGCACAAACTGGAACTTCTTTTTTTCATTATCTACGGCCTAAGGAGCATAAAGAACACTGATCAAGGGAGGAGGGCAACTTTGTCTTCCTCAGAGATTCCACTCTGTGGACTCTGATCTGAACAAAGTGAAGTGGGGCTTTCACGTGTTGATGTTGGTGGGGGGGGCTATACCACCATGAACTCTCCCTCCCCTGTCCCCCATGACTGCTACAGAAACCCACCCACTTGTCCAGAGCTATGTTCAGGGTGGGAATTTGGGCATTGATAGAGAAGAAATGAGAATGGAGAAGTGGGTACACCTCTGTGGATGGAGCCCTCCCATCCTTCTGACTCCTGGAAAAAGATTGCGAAAGGGTGTCCAGCAATGAGTAATGGACCAGTGAGCCCAGTTGGGGGAGGTCTTAGGAACCTACAAGACTAGTCTATATCTTATCCTTATGCCCACTTGACCCATCCAGGGGGCTTTCTGGATGCATGTTATTTATTTGTCAGCCGACTCTGGCCTGACTCTCTGGCTATTGGCGTACCTTCTCAATGGTGCAGTCGCTGGGGAGTAGGTAGAGGTGGAAGTTGACTTCCTCAGGATGGAGGCGATGGTAGAGCAGCACATTGGAGATGACAGGAATGTTCAGGAAAGAGTGGATCTTTCTCAGTAGAACTCCCATGGGGGAGAAGCTGGGGTTCTCGAGGACGGTATAACGTGGCTCCACCCTGGTTGGCTTCTCCAGAAGTATCCCATCCTCTTTAAAGTGGGCTACGTGGAACCATGAGATGTCCACATGTTCCTCTGTGAAAAAATGGATTTGAGAGATGAGTACTTAGTGCCCTCCCTGAGTCAGGCTTGACTGGGACAGTGTGGTCCTTGTGCAGAGGTTCAGTGGCCTTTTGGGGGGACCCAGCAGGGAAGGCAGTGTGCCTGTGTCTGGGGCTTTTTGGGGTTGTGGTCAATAGGTTCTCTCCAGTTGGAGCACCACTGGAATCTTCTTAAGCTAAACCTATACACACCCCCAGGCCCTTGAGCTGGGAAAGATAATGACCCCATGGTTAGCTGTGTTACTGTGCATTCCATATCTTTGAGAGTCACTGAGTAATGCTGGCAGGTGTCTCTCCGGGAAGATAGAAACAAGGAGAAAGAGAGTTGGAAATGGAGTGACCAAGGTAGTGTACATTTGTCGTGTTTGATCACCCACCATTTTCAGACTCTTCTTTTTGTGAAGAACCTCCTCCTCCATCATTGTGTGGGTCTTGGCTAAATACAAGCTGGGCCTCCCACTTGGGAAGCTTGTGACACAGGTTGTGACCAAGACTTGACCAAGTGGATGCTTCTAATCAGGGCCTTGATCTAGAGGTGATGAAGCACAGATGAAAAGACAGAGATTCTTTTGGCAGCAGCAGTGGGGTCAAGAGACCAGCAGCCACTATGGCAGGAGGGCTCTTCAGTGGCTGTGTCTGCCCTAGAGGTCTCTCTCTTTTTTTCTTGTTTAGACCTTAGCTGTCTTCTTGTTTTCTCAACAGTCTTTGGTCACTGCCTATTTTTGTCTTTTCTCTGTAAGACTTGTTGCCTAATTGTTTCTTAAGTCTATGAGCTACTCAATAATCTTTTTATACATTCCTTTTATGTCCAAATCAGCCTTAGTCTGCATGGTCACCAATCAGCACATGCAGATTGATTTAATACTAGAAGGAGCCTTGGAGACTGCTACTTAACTTTACTAACTTATTAAATGCTTAAAAACATTTTTTTAAAATATATTTTTTTGTTACTCCTCATCCAAGGATATTTTTTCCATTAATTTTTAGAGAGAGAGTGCAAGGTAAGGTGAGAGACAGAGAAAGAGAAATGTCAATGTGGGAGAAACACATCAATTGGTTGCCTCTCACACTTGCCATGACTGGGGCTGGGAATTGCAACTGAGATAAATGCCCTTGACCAGAATCAAACCTGAGACCCTTCAGTCTGAGGGCTGATTCTCTAACCACTGAGCCTAATGGGTTAGGGCTATTAATGACTTTTTTTGCATGAAAAATAGTATCATGGTGGTGTATACCACCTGACAAAATACAGAGATATTTACATCTGATATCACTAAACAGTACAACTATTATTTCCTTCTTTCCCTTTTCCATTAGTCTTTCTCTGTAGCAGCATCTTTTCGTGTTTCCATTTTGGTCATGTAGCTTTGTCTCCTGCCTTTCCCACACTGGTTTAAATTGGGCCTTTCTAGTGACTGCAGTGCATGATCCCTGCTGCGGATGCAGCATCCCTCGTTCACCGCTTTCTTCTGGTTTCAGCGTTGGGGTTGCTTCCACCTCTTTGCCATGATAAATAGTCCCGCAATGCACATGTTTCTGCAGAGAACTTTTTATTTCCCTTGAGCTGCTACCTCGGATTGATAAGTCCCAAGGATTGAGAACAGGGTGTGAAAGGATGTGAGCAATTCTCTGACTTGCCAGGTTTTGCCAAATTGCTTCTCCATGAAGTGGTGCACTTTGCATTGCTTTGGTGACACTAAGTGGATGTTACCTCGTCCTCCACAAACTGAAATATTCTCATGTGTTAGTTGGGTGAACTGAAGCCACTGGAGGGAAGTGCTTTTCAGAAGGTCACAAGCCACCTACAGCCTTTGGGTGAGATCCCTGCTCTCAGAGCACAGTTTGCGGCACTACAGACACTCTGTGCCTGAATTCTGTTTCATTTTAAAAATGATGATGATGATGATGATGATGATGATGATTATGTGTGTGTGTGTGTGTCTGAATTTTGGAAGGTGCTGTGTGTGCATCCAACTTTCCTTCTTGCTAGGATTACCCGTTGTCCTGGCTATCTCACACCTCCCCACCACTGATTTACTTCTGAATCTTCCCTAGTTATCCTTCCCTACTGACCCTGTCTACGAAGCCAGGTGCCCTTGGACCCTGGAGTCTCTCCCATTGGGACTGCCTCCTGTGCCCGTGCTCTCCTCCTAATGGGCAGCTTGAATTGTTTACTAAATCTTGTGGTCTCAACAAATGAGCCTTCTCTGGGTCTGTTTTACTTTTCTCATTCTATTTTTTTGTTTCTACTAATTTGTAAATTCTTCTTATATACATATATATTTTTTGACTGAGGACCTAATATTTTAGTGTGTGTACTTAAAATCTAAAGTAAACCAAGGCCTGTACCTGGAGGTGATACTGAATGGATTTAACTACTGGAAGTGTGCTATAATCCTATATAATAAAAGGCTAATATGCAAATTGTCCCCTTGAGAGTTTAACTGGGAGACCAGGAGTTCGATCACTCGCTATGATGTGTATTGACCACAAGGGGGTGGCGTGGAATATGGTGGGTGACCAACAGTGGTGGTGGGGCGCTGAGAGATCAAGGGAAAGAGGTGGGGAGGTGGGGAGGTGGGGATGCAGGGAACCAAATTGACACTGATCACTGGCCAGGCCTAGGGACCTACCCATGCAAAATTTTCATGCACCGGGCCTCTAGTTTAATATGTCAATCTATACAGATATGCATTGCTGAACTATGGGAATGTGGTCTGAGAAATGCATCTTTCAGCAATTTGATCATTGTGCGAACATCACAGAGTCCATGTACACAAACCTAGATGGTGTAGCCTACTACACACCTAGGCTATATGGACTACCACCATTGTATATGTTTTCTGTCATTGACCAAACCATTGATATGTGATATATGACTGTAAATGAAACATTACAATTATATCTCTCTTTATTATCTAAATGAACTATACATATCATAAAAGTACTTATAACTGATATAAGCTGTATCATGAATTATTTATTAAATCATATATATATATATATATATATATATATATATATATATATATATATAAAAGCCTAAATGACCGAACGACTGAATGAGTGATCAACTGGTCACTATGATGCGCACTGACCATCGTGGGGCAGACGCTCAATGCAGGAGCTGCCCCCTCGTGGTCAGTGTGCTCCCTCAGCCAACCTCCTGTAGCCCCTCCCCCTGGCTGGCCCGATCAGTCCTGGGCCCCAATTAGGGCGGGAGACAACCCCGATTGTCCCTGATTGCTGGCCATCCTGAGGGACCCCACCTGTGCATGAAATCATGCACTGGGCCTCTAGTTCTATCATAATTAAAGTTCCTGTCTGGATCATGATTTGACATTGGGAACTGAATCAGGTTCTTCCAACTTTCACATTAAATTGATAGACATTAGTTCTGTGGCAGCCAACGTTGTCTGGGGTGCATCTGATGCCACTCATGGCCTGGACTGGAAAGCCTGTGTTGCCTCAGCCTGCACATGTGCAGGCCCATTATTTGACTCTGTGGCCAACACTGGCTGATGTTGTCAGGTCACTTATGGTCTCAAAAAGTGGAGAATTTCTCTTTCTTGATCAGGATGGAAATGTTTTAGCATTTTAACCCAGAAGGCAGTTCTAATGCAGGCTTAATCCTCTTTGTGAATTATACACTAAGACCTTTGTATTTTTTAGCACTCTACTTGCTGTTTCTGTTGAAATTTTAGTTTTCTCTCTCTCTTTAAAATCCCCACACATTAGACATTATTACTTTTGCTTTATCGAGTCATTGGTTTGTTAGATTTACCCAGTTGTGTGTCAGTATCTTTGCTGATTATTTCATCTTGTACTGCACACCTTATGTATGGGATCATTTCTCTGTTGCCTGAGTTACATCCTTTTGAATTTTCTTCAGTAAGTATTTGTGGAAGATATCTTGGTTTTAGTTTGTTTTAAAATGTCTGTTTCACCTATTTCTTAAAGAATAATTTTTCTGTGACTATAATTCTTGATTAACAGTCACTTGCTTAATCCTTTGAGGTACTCATTCCATTGTCTTCTGCCTTCCATTGTAGCTGTTCAAAATCAGTTGTCATCCTAATTGCAGTACCTTGCTCCATAATCTTTCTGGCTGCTGTTAAAACCTGCCCTTAGATGTCTGTATTCTGTAGATTCACTTCAATGGGTCTAGTGCTGATTTCTCTCTGTTCCACTCTCCTGCTTTGAATTTTTGGAATTTCTCCTTAGAAATCACATTTTTCAGTAATTATAGAAATTTCTTGGAAATTCTCTGAATATTCTTTGAATATTTCTTTTTCCATTCTCTCTATAATATCCTTCTAGAATTCTGATTATATGTATATTAGGCCTCTTGATATCTTCCATGTCACTTAATCTTTTCTTATTTATGCTTTATCATATTTTCTGTCAATTTAGCTTATTTTCAAACTTGATTTATCATTTTTAGTGGTTTATTGTTTCTTGCTCATATTTTAAGGACTATTTCATGAAGCATAAGAAACATACTTACTTTGCATTCTCCTTTTCATAACTTAAATGTTTGAGGTCTTTTTTTTTTTTTTAAAATATGGATTGCTTTACAAATTGTTGTGTTCCCCTTGTGCAGGGGCCATGCTAATCTTCTCTGTATCGTTCCAATTTTTGTATATGTGCTGCTGGAGCAAGCACTGTTTGAGGTTTTTATGGGACTGATATCTGGTTGAGGTTTCTGTTGGTTTTCAGTGCTTTTGAGGTTTTGACTGTGAACTTTACAATTTTTGGAACTTTTCTGTGGGAAGTCTTTGGATGTGGGAGTGGTTTGGATAACCATGTAACTCTGTGACTTTGTCTCTTACTGAAATGCTCCTCTTTTGTGGCTTGAGCTCTCATATCGAGTCTGGTGACACTGTTTCTCCTCCTTGCCTATAGCAGTAGCAATGACTTCCCATTTGTTGTTAATTTTTAGGTGCCTCAACCTTTCTTGTTGTTCACTTAAACTTACTTTGCAAATGGTCTTGTCTTTGAAAAGTCTCATTAAAAATCTCAAATGAATAGATCATATATTTTCTGCTGGGACCCTAAATTATACAATCTATGTGAAGAGAACTTAATAAATGATAGCTATTATTGTTATTGAGGAGACCCCTTCCTTCCTTCCTTCCTTCCTTCCTTCCTTCCTTCCTTTCTTCCTTCCTTCCCTTCCTCCCTCCCTCCTTCCTACTTACCTTTCCTTCCTTCCTTCCTTCCTTCCTTCCTTCCTTCCTTCCTTCCTTCCTTCCTTCCTCTTTCTTTTTTTTTTTTTTTAAAGGGCAGAATGATGATTTTTATTTTTTAAAATATATTTTATTGATTTTTTACAGGAGGGAAGGGAGAAGGGAGAGAGATTAGAAAACAGCGATGAAGAGAACATCTAAAACACCAAAAAAAAACAAACAAAACACAAAAACAAAAAAAAAAACATAAAAAAAAAAAAAAAAAAAAAAAAAAAAAAAGGAACGATGTAACAGAACTCTAACGCTGACTCCTGCAGATTCCCTACTGGGGATGTGCCCACAACCAAGGTACATGCCCTTGACCGGAATCAAACCTGGGACCCCTGAGTCCGCAGGCTGATGCTCTATCCACTGAGCCAAGCCAGTTAGGGGTTCTTTCTTTCTTCTTCTTTCTTTTTCTTTCTTTCTTTTTCTTCTTTCTTTTCTTTCTTTCTTTCTTTTCTTTCTCTTTCTTTTCTTTTCTTTCTTTCTTTCTTTCTTTCTTTACTTTCTTTCTTTCTTTCTTTCTTTCTTTTTTCTTTCTTCTTTTCTTTCTCCTTCCCCATTCCTTCCTTCCTTCCTTCCTTCCTTTCCTTCCTTCCTTCCTTCCTCCTTCCTTCCTTTCCTTTCTCTCTCTCTCTTTCTTTCTTTCTTTCTTTCTTTCTTTCTTTCTTTCTTTCTTTCTTTCTTTCTTTCTTTCTTTCTTTCTTTCTTTCTTTCTTTCTTTCTTTCCTTTCTTCCTTTTCTTTTTTTTCTTTCCTTTCCTTCCTTCCTTTTCTGGTTAATCCTCACCTGAGGTTATTTTTTCATTGATTTTCAGAGAGCAGAAGAGAGGGAGAGAGACAGAGAGAGAGAGAGAGAGAGAGAGAGAGAGAGAGAGAGAGAAAGAAAGGGAGAGAGAGGACAGCATTGATGTCTCACATCGATTGGTTGTCTCCCGCACGTGACCCAACCAGGGCCACGGAGTGAGGCTGAAACCAAGGCATGTTCTGTTGACCTGAATAAAACCCAGGACCCTTCAACCCACAGACTGATGCTTTATCCACTGAGTCAATCTGGTGAGGGTGAGAAAACCACTATCCATTGAGGAAAACTTTCCAGTAATTCAGGCAAAAATAATTATGATGCTTGGGGACACAATGTTTCAAAACAGATATGCCCAGAGCACTGTGGAATGAGAAAGAAAGCTGCTGCCACTTCTATAACTTTCTCTCAGTCTGCCTAAGGAAGCCACAAACTCCCCTCAGGATATTGAAAGCCATTGGAAGCCATTTCGGGCCCATTCTCACCATTATCACCTTTCCTCACACCTCCCTCTCACTCACCTTGGAGGGCTATAAAGTGAGGGAGGTACACAGCCTTCACAGCTCCTGCTTCAGCCTTGATGTCAAAAAGAGGCCCCGCAACCATCCAGCTGTGCCTTGGGACAATCTGGTCCAGGAACTGGTCCCAAGCACAGAATTCAATCTCAATGGTCACAGGCCCTCTGACCACAAAGTGGAGACCCACGTTGGGCCAGTGGTAGGAACCAGCCATAGGGAAGTGAACTCTGGGGATAACAGAGAGAGGTAGACATTGAATTAATTACTCCACACAAGCTCACGGACTATCTACTGGGTTCATGACCCCATGTAGTGCACTGGGTATCTAGTAGAGTGGCTGCAAGCTCAGAAGTGACAGCCAGAGGGATTTGGGGTTGAGTCTTGGCTCCTCTGCTGTCTTCTGTGGATCCTTCAGCAAGTCATTGAACCTCCCTAATCTCAGATTTATTATTTTTAAATAAAAGTAACAATAGCACCATCTCATAGAATTGTGAGTAATAAGTGACCTAATGTATGCTGATGGCTTAATATCTTTCTGGGGGTGGTGAGCTGGTTCTATAATGGCGATGATAAATATAATAATAATAATATTAATAATAATGAAATGGGAAAATTTTCTTTTTTTGAAGGGCATATTTATTTATTTATTTATTTTGTAAATTCTTTATTAGTTAAGGTATTACAAATGTGTCCTTATCCCCCCATTAATCCCCTCCCCCCACTCATGCTCTCATCCCCCTGTTGTCCATGTCCATTGGTTTGGCTTATATGCATGCATACAAGTCTTTTGGTTGATCTCTTCCCCTTACCCCCTCCCTCCCCTACTTTCCCTCTGGGGAGTGATAGTCTGATCGCTGTTTCTCTATCTTTGGATCTGTCCCTATTTATCAGTCTATCAGGGGTGGGCAAACTTTTTGACTCGAGGGCCACAATGGGTTCTTAACATGGACTCAGAAGAAGGAGCTGCGGCCGTGTTTCCCGACATTGCCATGTTAACACTGCTGCTGGTGAAGGAGCGGAGGGGAGAGCAAGAGAACCCTCCACTCTTTCAGCTCAGCGGGCCGGATAGAACAGCCGAACGGGCCGGATCCGGCCCACGGCTGGTCTATGTTGTTCTCTATAATCCACAAATGAGTGAGATCATGTGGTATTTATCTTTCTCTGACTGGCTTATTTCATTTAGCATAATGCTCACCAGTTCCATCCATGCTGTTGCAAAAGGCAAGAGTTCCTTCTTTTTTTACCACAGCATAGTATTCTATTGTGTAGATGTACCACAGTTTTCTAATCCACTCATCTGCTGATGGGCACTTAGGCTGTTTCCAAATCTTAGCTATGGTGAATTGTGCTGCTATGAACATAGGGGTGCATATATCCTTTCTGATTGGTGTTTCTGGCTTCTTGGGATATATTTCTAGAAGTGGGATCACTGGGTCGAAAGGGAGTTCCATTTTTAGTTTTTTGAGGAAACTCCATACTGTCTTCCATAGTGGCTGCACCAGTCTGCATTCCCACCAGCAGTGCAGAAGGGTTCCTTTTTCTCCACATCCTTTCCAACACTTGTTGTTTGTTGATTTGTTGATGATAGCCATTCAGGCGGCTGAGAGATGATACCGCATTGTCAATTTGATTTGCATCTCTCATATAATTAGTGACTTTGACCATGTTTTCATATGTCTTTTGGCCTTCTGTATGTCCTCTTTCGAAAAGTGTCTATCTAGGTCCCTTGCCCATTTTTTGATTGGGTTGTTTACTTCCTATTGTTAAGTTGCATGAGTTCCCTGTAAATGTTGGAGATTAAACCCTTATCGGTGATAACATTAGCAAATATGTTCTCCCATGTAGTGGGTCTTCTTGTTGTTTTGTTGATGGTTTCCTTTGATGTGCAAAAGCTTTTTATTTTGATGTAGTCCCATTTGTTTATTTTCTCTTTAGTTTCCATTGCCCTAGGAGCATTATCAGAGAACAAATTCCTTCCACTATATTTGCAATTTCGCTGCCTGTGGATTCCTCTAGTATTTTTATGGTTTCCCATCTTACATTTAAGTCTTTTTATCCATTTTGAGTTTATTTTTGTGTATGGTGTGAGTTGGTGGTCTAGTTTCATCTTTTTGCATGTATCTGTCCAATTTTCCCAACACCATTTATTGAAGAGACTGTCTTGACTCCATTATATGCTCTTGCCTCCTTTGTCAAATATTGATTGGGCATAGTAGTTTGGGTCAATTTCTGGGTTCTCTATTCTATTCCATTGATCTATATGTCTGTTCTTGTGCCAGTACCAAGCTGTTTTAAGAACAGTGCCTTTGTAATACAGTTTGATATCTGGTATTGAGATCCCACCAACTTTGTTCTTTTTTTTTTCTTTTTTTTTTTTTTAAATATATTTTATTGATTTTTTACAGAGAGGAAGGGAGAGAGATAGAGAGTTAGAAACATCGATGAGAGAGAAACATCGATCAGCTGCCTCCCGCACATCCCCCACTGGGAATATGCCTGCAACCCAGGTACATGCCCTTGACCGGAATCGAACCTGGGACCTTTCAGTCCGCAGGCCGACGCTCTATCCACTGAGCCAAACCGGTTTCGGCGACTTTGTTCTTTTTTCTCAGGATTGCTGCAGCTATTCGAGGTCTTCTTTTATTCCAGATGAATTTTTGGAACGTTCATTCTAGATCTGTGAAATATGCCGTTGGTAATTTAATGGGGATTGCATTGAATCTATAGATTGCTTTGGGTAGTATGGACATTTTGATGATGTTGATTCTACCAATCCATGAACACGGTATGTTCTTCCATCTGTTTATGTCTTCCTCTATCTCTTTTTTCAGTGTCCTGTAGTTTTTCGCGTATAAGTCTTTTACCTCCTTAGTTAAGTTTATTCCTAGGTATCTTAATGTTTTTGGTGTGATGGTAAATGGGATTGCTTTTTTAGTCTCACTTTCTGTAAGTTCACTATTGCTGTAAAGAAATGCTATGATTTCTTGGCATTAATTTCGTATCCTGCTGCATTGCTGAATTCATTTATTAAGAGTAATAATTTTTTGATGGAGTCTTTAGGGTTTTCTATGTACAGTATCATGTCATCTGCAAATAAGGACAGTTTTACTTCTTCTTTTCCAGTTTGGATGCCTTTTATTTCTTCTTCTTGTCTGATCGCAATGGCTAGTACTTCCAGTACTATGTTGAACAGGAGTGGTGAGAGGGGGCATCCCTGTCTTGTTCCTGTTTTTAGGGGGAATGGTTTTAACTTTTTCCCATTGATTATGATGTTGGCTGTGGGTTTGTCATATATGGCTTTTATTATGTTGAGGTATGATCCTTATATTCCTACCTTGCTGAGAGTTTTATTTTTTTATTTTTTTAAAATTAAATCTTTATTGTTCAGATTATTACATTGGTTCCTCTTTTTTCCCCACCATAACTCCCCTCCACCCAGTCCCCCCACCACCCTCTGCCCTCACTCCCAACCCACTGTCCTCATCCCTAGCAAAGAGAATTAGGGCATAAGGAAGAAAGAAGAGAAAAAGATAAAAGAGAAGAGGGAAAAAAAGGAGTGCAAAAATGGAATTGGGAAAAGGGAGGGAAAAAAAGTAAGAGAGAAAAGAGAGAGAATGAAATAGAAGAGCGGAAGAGACTATTTATATGGGGAGAAAACTCCAATAGAACTGCCACTAATCCCAACCAATTCCAGCTACAGATCCCTGGAGATGAATGCAAACTAAAAACAACCACTAATATCAAGCAAGGCGAGGGAAAACAGAAGCAGAAAAATAACTGGAGATGAGAAATATATATATATATATATATATATATATATATATATATATATATATATATATATTTTTTTTTCAGTTGATCAGCATAGTTGGGTTCTCCAGCCAGGTTCTGTAAAAGGGCATATTTTTTTTTATAATTAATAGTAATCTACATGGTGATATTATTTATAACCACTTGGAGCTGAAAACAACACTTGCAGAGATATTACAGAGACTTTCCCAAGGTCCCCATTTGTAAAGAGTGAGTTCCTGGGATGTCACCTTCTGTGTGTGTAAGTTTGGAGTAATATTCCATTCCATTGAGATCATATCCGTGACAGTGAGTGGGAATGTGTTATGTAAGAGATCAGAACTAAGATTATAGACATTTATTACTTATGACTGGGAATCCTTGGAAGGCCGGCTGCCATATTCATCTCATGGCCCTTGTTACAGGTATGGTACTTTTCACATAGCAGATGCTAATAAAACAGAAATGGGTAGATGGAATGAGATTTATGAGATGTAACAAACCAAATGCAACCAGTGGACTTTGTTTGGATACTGATTAGAACAAACCACCTACAAGGACACATTTTGGACAATTGAGCATATTTGAATAAGACTAGGTATTAGATGATATGAACATGACATTGTTAATGTTGTCAGATATAATGACGTTGTGGTTATAGGAGAAAACGTATTTATATTCTTCAAAATGCATCACAAAATATTTATGGGTTAAATTACCTGACATCATGGATTTAAAATACTATAACAACAGAAGAGGGGGAAAGTGAATAATTAGTACAAATTTGGTAAAATGATTGTTGAAGCTGAATAATGGGTAAGTGGAAGTTCCTTACACTCTTTTTTCAACTTTCCGTAATAAAACCTCTGTCCATAATAGAAGCACCAACCCAGTATCTCAGCCATGTCTCTGCCTAGTTACTTGGTAATGGGAGGGGACGCAATGCCATGAGTGGGGTGTTGAGTGTCTGTTGGAACCCAGTTTGGGGATGGCAGGGGTTGGGGGCCGGCCTGGCACAGTGAGCCCCCTCACTTACCGGTACAAACCTCTGTCTTTGTCCACCACCTCTGGAGTCACAGGCCCTGTGGGGCCCCAGAAATCATCATCTGTCCCTATAGACTCCTCTGGCATGTCTCCCAGATATTCAGGAGAAGACCAATCGTCAGCCCATGTTTCTTGATCATAGCTCTCCTCTGGAATAGGCAGGGCAATGGTCAACATTAGGGTCTTCTGTCTCCTCCCCCAATCCTTAGCCTATACCAAGGAGGGGACCTCCCCAAGGCTTGTCTGTCTGGACATTGGCAGGGAGTGCATCTGTATCCTCTGTGCCTGATACTGGGGCTGCCTGCCTGCTATCTGAGGAGGCCCAACACTGCTGCCCTCTGACCTCAACCCTACCCATCTCCCCCTTCCCACTGGCACAGAGATATTGCTATTCCCAGCTCTAATGGCAAGGTAACTTGTGAAAGAAACATGGCTTAAAAAATGGATGGGCAGCGATGCAAAGGACCTTGGGAGACTGGACCATGGATCAGAGTCTGAGACACCCCAGGGATATTCTGGGGAGGAACAGCCTCAGACCCTGAGGCAGGAGAGAGGAAAGCAGAGATCTTGCCAGTTCCCAGGGTCTAGATGTGGAAGATCTTGCATGGAGCGAGTTCCTGTAGGTGGGCATTTTTCCATGTCCCAAACCAGAGGCAGGAGCATGGTTGGGCTCAACTTCCACATTCTCCCTCTCCCATACCAAGTCATGATGCTCCCAGCCTGACCCCTCAAAGTACCTGATTCAGGTTCCTGCCATTTGAGTGGAGTTGTTTCATCATCCATCTCATTATCCATCTGTTCTTTCCCTGAGTCTTCCTTAGTGATCATCAGATTTGGATTCCTACACACAGAATTGTTCATTCTCCCTGAGATCTTGGAGAAAATTGGGGTTGTCTACATGACATCCTCACTTAAATTCAACCATCTGAATTTGAACTCATGGCCTTCATCTGAGATTCTCCCATAGACCCTGTCTCCGTGATGGCCCCCATCCACCCCGCCATCAATGCTGGAACTGGAGTGTAGTCCTGACTCCTCTCTCCCTTTGAGAACTGATTGGCCACCTTGTCACTGGCTCTAGAATAGCTCTCTTTCCAGTCCCTCTCTCCACCTCCACAGTCTCCATCCCATGTCCAGGCCCTGGCATTTTCAGCTCAAACCACTGCACCCTCCCCTTTAAGTTCCCCTCTTCTTCTGTTCATCTCCGGGCCATTTCTGCACAGCAGTTGATCTTCAATAGGAACCTGACTGAGCACTTGGCTGCTGAAGCCATGAAATCTATTGCTTTTGGGGATAGAATTCAAAGTTCTTAACATGGCCTAAAGGCCTACTTGTGCCCTGTTCCTCTAATTCAGGGGTGGGCAAACTTTTTGACTCGAGGGCCACAATGGGTTCTTAAACTGGACCGGAGGGCCGGAACAAAAGCATGGATGGAGTGTTTGTGTGAACTAATATAAATTCAAAGTAAACATCATTACATAAAAGGGTATGGTCTTATTTTTTTTTTAGTTTTATTCATTTCAAACGGGCCGGATCTGGCCCATGGGCCGTAGTTTGCCCACAGCTGCTCTAATTCCACCGAAACCTTTTCTCCATTCCCACCTCTGCCTTTCATCCCGCTCACTCAGTTCTAGTCCAATGCTTCTCAAAGTCCATACCTGGAAGCCTAGTTAAAACACAGATTCCTGGGCTCATCCCATAGATTCTGATTCAGCAGGTCTGGAGTGGGGCCTGACATTTACATTTTTAATGAGCTCTCAGGTAATGCTGTTGCTGACACTGCTGGTCCACAGGCCACACTTCGAGTAGCAGTGTTCCTGGTACCTGGCTTCCTTCTATCCCTCCAGTGAGCTAAGATCTCTATCTGGGCCAGGAATCTACCCATTCTCGGCCCAGCTAAGCCCTCGCATTTTTCACAACTTAGCTCAGGTGGTTTGGATAGGGTTTAATAGGCCAATCAATGTATTCACCCTGATATTGGGCACAATGATACAGGTGTGTGAGTGTGTCGGGGGCGGGGGGAGGGGGGGCGGGGGGGGGGAGGCAAGGGGGCGGCGGTAACCTAGGCCTGTGTCCCTGCTGAATTAAGCTCCTGGGAGTTGGGCCTGTGTTCAGGGTCCTGTGCCTAACACACTGTGGGTCTAAGGGGAATGCTTGTTCCCTGAGGAATGGCTCCTCCTAAGCCTAGGAGGCATTTCCTGCCATGCCAGGTGAGGCAGAGCAGTCAGAACCAGGCACAGGCGCACTTTGCAGTCACAGGCCGGAATACACCAACACGAAAGGCCACGGGGCTGCAGCAGATGCCCAGGAGGAGCCGTATTCTCCTGTTCCCAAGGCTTCTCCTCAGCTGGGCTGTGTACATGGGTGTTGTTGATATGTGTGGAGGGTGAAGGAGGGTGGTTTTTCAGCAAAAGCTCTCTCTCTCCTTGTCTTTGTCTCCCCCTTGTGGCCATTGCTTTCCATGTTCTAACTGCCATCAACTCACTCATTCAATTTTCATTTGTTCACCTTCTTACTCCTCATTTCTTGGAAGGATTTAAGCAAAGGAGGGGCATGTTCTTGTTTGAACTAAACAAACACACAAACAACAACCTCACTCTGGCTTCTGTGGTTTCCTGGCTTCTTCCTGCTTCTGTCTGTCTTTCCCTCCAACCTCACCCCACCCTACTTCTGGCCCATGTCTCTGGGCCAGTCTCTAGGAGTCAGCCCTGGGCCTGGGTCAGCTCGAGGGAGTTCTGTGTCTCCCCTCTTACCCATAACTGAAGACCAGCTGAGGCTTCTCCTGCTGCAGATGCCTCAGCATCTCTGTCACCTCTGCACTCAGCCCAGTCTGCTCCAGCCTGCAAGCACAAAGGGAGCCTGGTTATCCTGGACCCCTACACAATCTCTATGCCTCAGGGCCTAGAATCATGGAACCTTCCAGGTCCTGCAGGAACCTCTTGTTTTTGAATTGGAAAGAAGAGTTAGGAGGTTTATTAGGGAGTGTAGTTGGGTTAACACAAGGGCAAAGGAAGGGAGGAAACATGACTAGAAAGAGGGACAAGTTGGGTTGTGATGCAGTCCCAAGGGGCACAGCTGGCTCTGTGGGACTTCTGATGTGGGGATGACCCTCCAGGGCTGTCCATACTGGGAGGAGGGTCCTTATACCACTACCCTAGTCACTGGAGGGCAGTGACCTTGTGTGAGATGGCCCTAGTTGGCAGAGCCATTCTTCTTGCTGGCACCACTCCCAGGGTGGGGGTTGGGTCTTCATTCCTTAAAGGGGACTGGGCAGCACTTCACAGCATCCACCAGAGAAGAGCCAGTATCCATGGCCTCAGATGACCACATAGGAGTTGGTCCTGGGATTTCCTTCTCAGAGGCTATGAGGCTTCCTGGAGAGAGAGTGCCCTGTTTCCATTCTCTCACGCCTTGTGCTGTGGAGTTTCTGTTGGATTTGGGATGGCTGCTGCCCTCTCTGGGCCTCCATGTCCTCACCTCCAACATGGAGGGACCTGCTCCGCCTATTAGGAGCCTACACCCTCCTGTAGCTCTCCGCCCGCTGCCCTGCCCTCCTATAGCTCCCCTCTCTCCCCTAACCCCCTATCCCCGTCCCTCCCCTCATAGCTTGCTGCCCTGCCCCCTCCTGTAGCTTTTCTTCAGCTGCTTGTAGCTTGCTGCCCCACCCTCCTGCTGATCCCTGGTCTGGTTGTTAGGCATCACAGGGTAATAACCATTTGCATATTACATCTTTATTATATAGGATTAGGAGTAACGGGTGAGCGGGGCATGGGTGCAGACCTACTGCAAAGGCCCAGCTCTGGAGGGGTCCTTCAGGATATAGGAGATGGTGATAGCCACACATGCTCAGAGGGGAGGGGGCTGGGTGGTGGTAGCCCCATGGATGGAGTTCCCTTGCTTATGAAGGGTCAGAGTGGGCTCTGGGGGGACCCACATGTAGAGTATTCACCTCCTGCTCATTTAGGCTTGAGGAAGGAGGACTGGCGGAGGAAAGGCTGAGAGCCAGCTGGAGCCTCGGCCAAGACTGAGGGGTCAGGACATGGATGTTTGGAGCCCTGTCAGCTCTGAGTGTGAGACAGGCCCCAGCCAGGAGCTGCAGGGAAATGTTCAGTCAGAAACTGGCAGTGGACTTGTTTTCAGGCTGGAGGGCGACAGGAAGTGGCCAGGAGACAGGGTGGGAAATGCAGGCTGGGGGTCACTGCACCCCAGCCACATAGTTCTCCAGTGCTCTGAGCCTGTTTCTGTCCTGGGGTCTCCCCCACTCTATTCTCAGCCTGGACAGCTCCCCCTGACTGGGCCTGGTCAATCCCTCTTTCTGTTTCAGGTCTCAGCCTGATGTCACTTCCGGAGAGAGGCCCTCCCTGCCCCTGAGTCTAATTCCGTCCCCCCTCCCCCCACCTGTTACATGCTCATAACACAGTGCACTTTCCATTCACAGACTGCATGGAGCTCAGAGATACAAACATGTTATCAACATCTGTCTCCTTGTCACTGGAGTGGAAGCTTAAGGGAACAGGACCCGTGTCTGTGGCTCACTATTGTCCCTTCAGTGCCTGGCATAGTGCTTGGCACATGGGAGCCATGAAATGAATGAATGGATGAATGAGTGAATGAAAGAGACCATTAAGGAAGGAAGGAAGGAAGGAAGGAAGGAAGGAAGGAAGGAAGGAAGGAAGGAAGGAAGGATTGTTCTGGATGGAGAAATGAACTTAAGATTCTCTAAGAACATGTGGTCTCACTAGTAATTATCATTTCAGCCTCTCAAATCTGTTTCCAGTGCTGTGATGCATTTTATTTCATCACATCTATGAGGTGGACATGGTAGTCCTGTTACAAAGATAAAGAAACCAAGTCTCATGGCCTAAGTCAGTGGCGGATCCGGTAGGGAACCCAGGCTGCCCAGGCATTCTGCTGCCCCTTTACTTCCCCGGTCCAATTCATGCCCCACACCCCTTTCCATTGCTCTCCCTCCCCTTCCCTGTCCTCTGCCCAGAAATGACCCCAGGGCCTTACCCCAGGAAGATGAATTGGCAGTTAGACTGCCTGAGCCCATCACAGAGCAGCCTCCCACCGAGGTCGCCCAGGTCGTTCTGCTGCAGGCCCAGCTCTAACAGCATGATGTTGTTACTGAGCATGGAGACCAGGTCCTGGCAGCAGGCAGATGTGAGGCCACAGCTGACGAGCCTGTGGGAGAAAAGCACATGGGCTGGAAGTCATTGTTCACAAGGCCCTCTCCTCAGGGTAAAGGGAGGTCTGATTTCCATCTCTAGCACCTGTGGCCTTTTGGGGGTCCTTGGTGACATAAAGGAAGATAAACACGTGTCTGGTTAATAGTAATCCAGGAGATTTTAATTTTCTCCTGCAGCCAAGGAGCCCCTCAGGATCAGAGGACCTCCCTTTCTCACTACTGTGAGATTCCCAACAATCTTGCAACTCCCCTCATCAACATTATATGATTTATTTACCCAATGTTCCACTTGTGCACTAGGTCTGATCGTTAACTACATCGGCCCTACCAAATGCCCAGGTAGCTGACACAGGATTCTTTGGTGGGTTTCAACAATAGGGTGTCTACTTGCTTCTAACCCAAATCACCCCATCCTACCTAGCTCTCAGCTTCTCCCTGACCCAGGGTCTTAGACAGCTCCCTCTCCTCCTTTGCCCACCCCTCAAAGTAGTGTCAAAGAGGAACAATTACAGCAGCCGCCGCAGCTTGCAGTGAGAATGTCTCAGCTCCTGGAACAGGTGCCGGGCTCCAGTGTCCAGGAGCTCGTTGAAACTCAGATCCAGATATGTCAGGTGCCTGTTGTCGCTCAGAACACGGGCAAGGGCCCTGCAGTCTTCTGCTGTGAGGCCGCAGTTGGCCAAACTGTGGGAGACAAACAGTGATAGCCCTGAGTTTCCTCACCTGTTGATTCCACAGACACCCACGAGCACCCATGGGCACCTCTTCTGAGTCAGGCAGTAAGTAAAACCCCCCATATCCCCAGAATTTCACAGGCACTGGAGGATTGACATAGAAACACAAACAAAAAATCTTAAGAGAAGCAAGAGAAAAGCAGTTACTTACCTACAAAGGGGTTTCCTTTGACTGGAATCAAACCCAGGATCCTTCAGGCCACAGGCTGACGCTCTATCCACTGAGCCAAACCAGTTTTCATGCAGCCCTTCTCTTGTCCTTCTGTCCCAGAAGGGCCAAGGCTCTTTTCTCCTGTGCCTTTGATTCCACACCCTCCTGCTTCCCCTCTGACCTTGTTCTTTCTGGAATCCCCTCTTCAGACCTCCAACCTCTCCTTTACCAATTCCTTCTCCTTTGTCTGTGAACTATGCTCAGTTTTACATGTCCATAACAAGCAAAGCACCCAGAATCCTTGAGTCTAGCATATTCAACTGATTTCCAGAGAAATCCAATTATTAGTTAGGAATTTGTTCGGAGGTCTTAGATATTCCTACATCCAAAGGCAGTAAATCTTTCAGTTCTTTCATATAGAATCAACTTTTGTATTGAGGTAATATTCACATCTGCCTGATCCATCATTAGTTCCCGTGAAAAATCTCTTTTACTGCACTGCCCCACTGAGTCAGCATGAAGTAGATCCTGGCTTTCATGATGAAGTGCTGAAGGTGGTGCTGGGCTGTGGGCTCACTGAGTTCCAGTCCCAGTTCTCCCATTTCTAGCTGTTTAAATTTGAGCAAGTTGGTTCACTCCACTGAGCTTCAGTTCTTACTATCTGGAAAATGGAAATCATTGTCCCTGCTCTGCCATTTTCATAAGGTTTTTTGAAGGCATATATCTATATCTATATATCTATATCTGTATCTGTATCTATATCTATATCTATATCTATATCTATATCTATATCTATATCTATATCTATATCTATATCTATATCTATATCTATATCTATCTATATCTATATCTATATCTATATCTATATCTATCTTGGAGTAGATACAGAATTGATATTTAGATTGTAAAGTTCTATCACAACGTAAGCAGTATATTGTAGCTTGGTGTCTCTCCACTTGCTGTGAAGTTTAAGGTAGAATAAAGTTTTCTGAGACCTTTTCAAAGGCTTTTCCTCCTGGACTCAGGTGGTCCTTATTAGAAGGGTTTTAGGAAAGGTGAAGAAGCCTCATGTGGATACAGGAGGCCCCAAGGACTGGGTTTGTTACCAACCTCTCGTGCTCAACTTATCCTACCAGGACTCTTCTTCAATGAGCAATTTCTTGACCCTCTACTTTCTCCCAACTTCTCAGCACCTTCCTTTTTTTTCATTTTGCTTGGAATCTAGCTTAAATTCTATGATATGTCATTGGTAATATCACTGAATGACTTACTCTCTTACCTCTCACCATATCCCTCTAGCTAACCCAAACTCTGCCATTGTCCCACTACCCTACACTCACTCCCACCAGCGTAACAAGCGTGGCAGCTACAATTATGAATCACATGGGCTTCAACCATGTCTGGAAGGTGAAAATCTCCCACTCTATAAATCTCGCACTTCAATACTTTACTTCCCCAAGTCTCCAACACACCAACCTCACACTCATTGTCAGTAAATAACTGAATTTCTACTTCACAGGGAAGAGTGGAGACATTAGGTTGAGAAAGTTTCCACTTTTCTAATTAAGTGAAAAGGTGTTATTAATGTGAAAGGTATTGACTTTGTCAAATACTATGTCTATTGAGATGATCATGTACTTTTTGTCCTTCATTATACTAAAATGATGTATTGTATTGGTCAATTTTCCTGGGTTCAACCAGCTTTGCATTCCTGGGATATGTCCCTGTTTGTTATGCTTTACCATCCTTTTTATTTGTTTTTAGTATTTTGTTGAGAATTTTCATATCTGTATTCATAAGTGATATTAGTTTGTAGTATTTTTAATGCCTTGTGATGCCTTTGCTTGTCTTTGTGTGATTTTGATATCAGGGTAATGCTGCTGTCATCGAATGAGTTGGCAATTATCCCCTCTTCTATTTTTCTTTTTCAGAGTTTGAGAATATTGTTGTTAATTCTTCTTTAAAGGTTTGGTACACTTAATCAATGAAGCCAACTGGGCCTGGGCTTTCCTTTGTAGGAATTTTTTTTTTTTTTAATAATTTAATCTCTTTACTTGTTATAGGTTTATTTAGACTTTCTAAATCTCCTTGAGTCAGTGTCAGTAGTTGTGTTTTTCAGGAAATGGTCCATTTAATTTAGGTTATCTAATTTATTGGCTTATAGTACTTAATATTTCTTTAAAGTTCTTTAAAATTTTTTTCTGTTAGATCAATTGTGATTACCTCTCTTCCATTCCTGATATTAGTATTTTGAATTGTTTCTTTTTTTATGTAGTCAGTCTAGCTAAAAGTCTGTCAATTTTGCTGAGTTTTGCAAAGAACTAACTTTTGGTGTCATTATTTTCTGTATTGTTTTTGTATTCTCAGTTTTATTTATTCCCACTCTAGTTCATATTATTTTCTTTCTTTGGCTTCCTTTTTTTTTTTTTTAAAGACTTTTTATTTATTTCAGAGAGGAAGGGAGAGAGAGAGAGAGAAACATCAACGATGAGGGAGAATCATTGATTGGCTGCCTCCTGCACACCCCCTACTGGGGATCTAGTCCACAACCCTTGACCGGAATCAAACCCGGGACCCTTCAGTCCACAGGTCAATGTTCTATCCATTGAGCCAAACCAGCTAGGGTCAGCTTGCTTTTTGTTATATTTTCTCCTTTTATTATTTCTTTTTGATTTTTAAAGTGGAACTTTAAGTTATTGATTTGACTTTCTTCTTTTTCTCCCCCTTCTCTCCCTCTAACCACTTCCTCTTTCTTTCTTAAATATACTTTTGTCTTGTTTGAATGGTTTTAGTTTTCAAAAACATTTGGGCATAAATACAGAGATTTCCTACATAGCCCTGCCCCCATATGCACACCTCCCCCATTATCAACACCTGGCAGCAGAGCAGTGAATTTGTTGCAATCAGTGAACCTACATTGACACATCATGATCACCCAAAGTCCATAGTTTACATTATGGTTCCCTTTTGATGCTTTATAATCTATGTTTTTTGACAAATATAAAATGACGTATATCCACCATTCTTGTGTCATACAGAATAGTCGCTACGCTCTATCTTTTTTCTCTCCCCCCGCCCCCAGCCACTGGCAATTACTGATTTTTTTACTGACTTCATATTTTTGTTTTTTAAAGACTTTTACATTGTTGTGATTATACAGCATGTAGCTTTTCAGGTTGTGTTTTTTTATACCTAGTAATAAGAATTTATAGTTCCCCCATGTATTTTCATAGCTTTATGGCTCATTTTTGCACACTGAGTAATATTCCATTGTATGGATGTACCACAATTATTTATTTGCTCGCCTACTGACAGCCATCTTGATTGTTTTCCAGTTTGGGCAATTATAAATAAAGTTGCTTTAAATATTGGTGTGTAGGTTTTTGTATGGATATAGGTTTTCAACTCCTTTGGGTAAACACCAAGGAGCATGATTGCTGTATCATATAGTAAGGGTGTGTTTCATTTTGTAGGAATCCGCAATGTGGCCATATTATTTTGTATTTCTACCAGCAATGTATGAGGGTTCCTTTTGCTCCACAACCTTGTCAGTATGTGGTGTTGTCAGTATTCTCGATTTTGGCGATTCCAATGAATGTGCAGTTGTATCCCCATTTCTGTTTTAAATCTAGGCATTAATATCTATACATTTCTCTGTCAGCACTGATTTAGCTGCATCAAATAAGATTTGGTATGCTGGGCTTTTGTTTTCATTCATCTCAAATACTTAAAAAAATTTTTTTTTTATTAATTTCAGAGAAGAAGGAAGAGGGAACGAGATAGAAACATCAATGACGAGAGAGAAACATTGATAGGCTGCTTCCTTCACGCCCCCTACTGGGGATCGAGCCAGCAACCCGGGCATGTGCCCTTGACCAGGATCAAATCTGGGACCCTTCTGTCCGCAGGCCAATGCTCTATCTAATGAGACAAACCAGCTAGGGCTCAAAATACTTTTATTTATTTATTTGTTTATTTATTTATTTTCATAAATTTAAAAAAATATATTATTTATTTCAGAGAGGAAGGGAGAGTGAGAGAGAGCATCAGTGATGAGAGAGAATCATTGATTGGTTGCCTCCCGCACACCCACTACTGGGGATTGAACCCACCACCTCGGCATGTGCCCTGACCAGGGATCATAATCTCTGGATTTTTGGCTCAGTGCTCAAACCCTGAGCCCCACTGGCCTGGGTCAAAATACTTTTAAATTTCCCTAGTGATTTCTTTTTCCACCCATTGTTTATTTAGGAGTATGTTGTTTCATTTCAATATATTTTTGAATTTCCTAAATTTCCATCTGTTATGATTTTCAATTTCATTTTATTATGTTCAGATAAGATAATTTGTATGATTGTAATTCTTTTAAATTTGTTGAGTTTTGTTCTATGGGGCATCTTATTTTTGTTTACAGCTTTATTTGATTCTTGTTGGACATCTCCCCTTGGTACCTCAAAGGAACTTGACACATGCACAAAATCACACCCATGACATCCCATCCCCTCCCAGACTTCTTTCAGTATTTCCATCTCAATGAAGGTGCCACTCTCCTATGCATATCTCTGTCCTGAACCTAAGATCATCTTCTATATCTCCATCTTCCTTTCCTCATAAATCCAATTCATTACTCAGTCTGGTTGATTTTACTTTTCTTCAGATCTCTTACATCCATTCACTTCTTTCCATTTTCATGGCCAACACAGTAGTCTAAGACACCACCATTTCTTGCAGAAACTTTGTTAATTTCCCTTGGCCCAAGCTGTCACCATCTTTACAGGAACAACTGAAACTTTCCTATGAACTGGTTTTCCAACCTCTCTTGTTGCTGTCCTCCATTCTGGATTTTATATGGCAGTCTGCTTCTACTGATCATATGAATCTTTTGATTATAATCACATTGCATTAGAAAAAAACAACCAACCCAGATTCCAACAGGCCTTGCAGAGACAGTCTGGCTTCCTGATCTCTGTAGCCTCCTCCTGTGGCTCCTTTGCTCTCCATCCTCCAGCCTCACTTGTCTGCTTTCAATCCCATGACAGCCCATCCTCCCTCCTGCCACAGGGCCTTTGACCTTTCTGCCCTCCTGCTTCACCTAGGTAAACCCTCTGTATTCTTCACATGTCCTTCAATATTCACTTTATTCAGGTTGTTTTCCACTGCAGGCCAAATGTATCCTAAGACACATTTGTTTGTGTGGTTAATGTCAGTCACTTGCAAACTCTGTGAAAACAGAATCCTATCTGTGTTTGCTTACTGCAATAGCCATGGTCAGAAAGGGGCTCAATGAATATTTGTTGAATACAAAGACCACACACCCATCCAACTTCTACCTTGGGTTTCCTGTCCATCCCTGTTTCAGATCAGAACCCAGGCCAGACTCACGTCAAGGTTTCCAGGTGGCAGTGAGGGCTTTTCAGGGCGTCACAAAGACTCTGTACTGCAGAGCAGCTCAGAGAGTTCCCACTCAGGTCCAGCTCCCGCAGGCGTCCAGGGACTTTGAAAATAGAGAAGAACATCTGCCACCAGGAATCTGTAAACGGGCCCCAGCTGTACCTGAGGGAGAGAGAGGGACAGGGTAGATGTGACTGGTGTGTGTGGGGACTTATGTGCACACTGTGCCCAACACCATGGGGTTTGGCCCCTCTGCGTGCCAGGCTGCAATGAGCAGGGCTATTGCCAGGGGTGATCAGTCTCTGGAACTGCCCCTCTATTCCCACCACCCTGGGCTAATTGCCCCCTTCCGTGTGGTTTCTCATGGCACAGCCCTTGCCATTCTACACTGCTGTACTCCTTTGGTGGGCCTGTTTCTGCCAGAGTGTGGGAAATTCTTGTGGGAAAGAGCATATATGTTCATCTTTTTTTTATCTGCAGTGCCCAGCACAGAGCCTGGGGATGCAGACAGTCTTCCTCTCATCAGTGCAGACCTGCCTTTCTTCCTCTGGCACAGATACTGTGAAGTCCCAATTTCCAGAAAGGAAAGGAAGAGGTAAGAGGAGGTAACAGAAATTGGGAGAGGTGGCTTAAGATGATTTTGTGATGGGATTGTTGATTATGACTACATATGCTGCTGTCCAGATTGGCTTGTGTGGGACCCTATCCCCTTCCCAGGATAGCAAGAGCACAGAGAGTGTCTCCAGGAGAGAGATGTCAAAGGGGAATGTCTCAGGAGAGAACATTTACAGGATGTGGGGAGAAGATGATGGGCCTTTTTCTGGGAGTTTTAGGGTAAACTGCCTTGTATCATTTCCACCAATTTAAATTCTACATTCCACACACTATCGAAGTGACTTTATCCACTCTAATGGCTCAATGACTCAAATTCTATTTCAAGGTGCAAACTGCCATCTCTATTTTCTTGCCAGAAAAGAGCACCCAATATGTCCCCCACTCCATTCATCTTTCCCTTCATGTCTGCAGAGCTGTTCCGAGGTGAGAAGAGGCTCTGGAGCCATCCTTTTGCGTGGCAATTCCACTTGTCAGTGCCTCAGTCAGTCTCCCTGCTGCAGGGAGGGGAGAAGAGGAACTGCCTCGGAGGGCTTTGTGAGGAGGCAGAGGTGTTACCGAGAATCCCTAAAATCTTAGTGCAGTTTTAGCTTTAACAGCTCTAAGACACACCATGCTGCAAAGGTACCGAAACACGTATCATTTGAAAGTTTATGTGTTTTGTAAACATTTATGTAGTTTTAGGAAATTTGAATAATACATTTTTAAACACTTTGTTTTGTTGAAACATTAGTCAACTTTAATCAGAGAGGCTAAAAGAAAAGCTTAAAAATTTATTAACAAGACGCACAGTGCTTAATTACAAACCAACTACCTTAGACCTACTCATCCTTACTCTCTTGTATTGGTCCTCCTCTCCCTCCCACAGCCGGGGGCCAGTTGTCATCATTTCTTCACAGACTTGTTGTTTCCAGTATCCTCTTCGCTATTCTCCCTGCCTTGCCTGGCTGACTCAATGCCTTTACAATCTCCCTGCCCACAGCAGCTGCAGCCTCTGACTTTCCCATGGGAGTCTTTCCAGACTCTATGTGTCACCATCTATTGCAAACTCTCTTACTTTGTCTTGGTGCCTCTGAGTCCTCTTGCTCTCCTCTGGCCTCCGCCTCTCTGCCTGCTCAGGACACTTCTGAAGGCCACCACCACTTGCAACACCTGCCCCCTGGTCCTTTAAGGACCAGCTTACCTTTATAACCACAACAACTAGAAATAAATTAAGTATCTGAGAATAGAGGACTGGTTGGATATTTGTGGCAGCTTCCCTATGGGAAACGGTATGGTTGTTCAAAATGTTGTTGTATCAGGCTACTTTTATAACACAGAAGAAAGTCTTGACATAAAAATAAAGAAAGAAAGCTGACTATAAAATAAAAGGTACAGTATGCCTCAGTTTTGCTTTAGAAATGTGCATAAAAATAAGACTAGAGGATATATACCTCACTTTATAATGAAGGTCCCTTCCGCTCTGAAAGCAATCAAAATATATTTTAAAAAATTATTGAGGAAAAATGTTACTGGTGATCTCAGTCCTAAAGCCACTGGGGCCAGGCATAGTGGGAGTGCCCCAGTGCCTAGGGCGGTGGTACCAACAGAGGAGCTGGAGAGAGGGGAGGGGGAATACTCACAGAACTACACCTGAAGGCCTTTGAGCTAGTTTTTTCTTTCCACCGTCATTCAGTTGAAGCGTATCCATGAGATGGCAGAATTTAAAGCAGAACGTGGACACCAGGAGCTCCATGTGAGTTTGGACACATATCCTCATTCCATAGAATTTGGACATCGTTTCTGTCAGAAACCTTTTGTCTTGAGTCTCATAAAAACAGTGGAGCAAGTGCCAACAATATGGCTCTAGGTTAGGATGCTTGCAGTCAACTTCCTTCTGGGCCAACTGCAGCAGATAGGAATGCGTCTCCTGTGACAGGCTGCATTTGAAGATGCTCTCCATCTCTCTCATCCCCTGATCACTCAAAAGACCAAACAGGAAACATGTGGTTGGTTCCCCAAATAGGTCATGCCTGTCATATACATCTGTCAAGTCTGTTGTAATTTTGATGTTTCTAAAGCGACTACTTTTCAACACTCTATCGCCTAAAGCATAGGACATTGCTGCAAAGAACTCCTGGAAGCACCGGTGAATGAAGCTGTAGCTCCGAGGGGTGGGGTGCTCTTGAAGAACACCCATGTTTAAGAGAGTGGAGATGTTGGCCCCATCTAACCCGTGTTCCCTGAAGTCCTCGGGGCTGAACAGAGTCTTTCCTTGACAGGTGCCTTCAGCAGCCAGAGAGCAGAAGCCTCTCAACTTAGTCCCAAGGGACTGAGCCTGGAGAACATGGAAAAAGTAGTGGAGACAGAGGGCTGTGGTCGTCTGGGAGGTCAGTGAGAGTGGTTGCTCCTGCTCCATCTGCTGCTTCAGGCAAGTGCAGACCAGCCAGGACACCAAGGGCATGAGACACATGGTGAAGAGAGCCGGGTTGGAATCAACCAAGGTAAAGGGTCTAATCGCTTCGCTCTCATCTGTGAAATACTTGTAGAAATAATCCTTCCTGGCCGACTCGGAGAATCCCAGGACCTCCACCCAGCGAGGATGCTTTAAAGAAGGAATGAGTTTTCCCAGAGCTGTGATCCGAGCTGTGATCAGCAGGGAAGCCGTGGGAAGTAAGGTTTTCTTCAGCAAACTGCCCAGCAGTGTGTGCACCTGCTGCTGCTGGCTCCAGTGTGGACAGAGCTCAGAACTCTGCTCCTTCAAGTCCCATCTTGGTTCATCTAAGTTATCAAGAATGAAGAGTAACTTCTCTGGCTGAGATAGGATCTGCCCAATGGGAGCATCAGGAGCAGCCCAGTCTTTTGTGATGAGCTCAGCGAGACTCACTGTCTCAGACTGGGCCAGCTCTCTGCAGTTGAAGTAGAAGACATGCTTGAAGCGGACCCTGAACAGCCAGCCTTCCTCCCAGGCTCCCCTCACGTGCCTAGCCAGGGCTGACTTCCCGATTCCAGCAACTCCATGCACCACGACAGTGGGAGGCTCCTCCTGGGTACTCACGCCTGGGCCAAATAAGTCTCCAATCTCCATCCAATGTCCTTGTTCATCTACCACCTCATGATACCTTCTTCTCCTGAGCAGGGAGTCATAGCCTCTGGGCTGAGATCTGTGTAGAAGTAGCAGTTGTGTGAATTTTTGGTGCAAATACTCATTTCTCCATGACTGTGTGGGGTAGGAACTCTCTTGCCTTTGGTTCTGGTATTTTTCTTTGATTCCTACAGAAAGGAGAGAAAGACGGAACATTTGTTAAATTGTTTCTCCACTTATTCCACAATTGTTTTCTGAACCCACTTGAAGCTACACACTGTGCTGGCTGCTGATATGGTACATTCTTGCCAGGCCAGTGGAGAAAACAGGGTCCTGAGGAGAAGATCCCGCTTAAATTTTTTTTTGAATTATTGATTTGCTTTATAAAAATAGGATTGTATATGTATACATAATTTTATTTTTTATTTTGTTTTATTGCTTAAAGTATTACAAATAGTATTACATATGTCTCCTTCTTTCCCCTCCGCCCCTTGACATTCCCCCGGCCTCCCCTACCCCCCAGTGTCTTATGTCCATTGGTTATGCTTATATGCATGCATACAAGTCCTTCGGTTGCTCTCCACCTTAAGTTTTGACTTGACCAAATCATTCTCATAGGGTGATGTTTCTTCCTTCTGCAAATATCTAATCTAGGGCTTACACTGCGAGGCACTTATCTAGAGGCTGGGAATAAAGAGTGAACAAACAGACACAACTGTCTGCTCTCATTAATTCCATGACCTGAGCTATTAGCCCCACTGAGCGTCAGTTTTTTCATTCATAAATTGTAAGTAGTTATGGTCGAGTGGAGGATATAATAGATGGTGAAGCAGATATGATTGGTTCCTGAGAGTTCCTCCTCTGCACCCACCCATTTAACCACATGGCAAGGATATTCTTCTACTTGCACCTGTGGTTTTCTGTCTGAGGGCTCTCTCTCAGGCATTGGGTGTGACAGGCCAGAAGCCCTGGGGAACTAAAGCTCCAGAGAGAGCTCTCAACCAGTGATAGATGGCAGTACCCTGACCCCCAGGAAAGATAGTACTGTCTCCTGAAGATCCCTAGTTCATTGAACCTCAGTTGCCCCAGAATGCAGGTTTCATTGGTTTCCCTACTTCCCTTCCCACTTCTCTCTCCTAATGGTGGTTCCAGGGAACCAGTTCTTGAATAAGCCACCTGCTCTCCAACGTCAGCTTCTGGGGGAAACCACCTGGACAGAGGAAAAAGTGGTTTATGAACTGTGAGGAGCTGAGCATATGTCAGGGACTGTGCCCCTGGGAGGAACCTCAAGGTCATATCTTTGTCAGATTCCAAGTGGAATCACTGTTAAATCCTTTTCTCTTCTTCCCTTCAGAATATTTTGAGTGACTCATCTTTCTTCGTAGATGAATGTTTGAGATGATGCAAGTGACCCACCTGGGGTCCTGAAGCCCAGTTCATCTTGGGAAACCTGCTGGACCTCCAGAGTACGTGGGGCTGATTTTCACCTGTAGCTTGGTGAGACTAGGGTATTAGGGGCCCTCTCCCTTCTCTGGAATCATGATCCGAAGATCCACTTTTATTGTCTCTCATGAGAACATTTCTGGCAAAGTGCAGATCTTCTAATGCATCAAAATGGCCACTCTGCATCATGGTTATGGCCCACCCCACTCTGAATCCTATGTCTGTCTGATGTGCCAAGAGAGGACTTAGGCCTTTTTGGTGCCATGTTCTCCAAAATATCCTGGTTTTAATAGATCTGCTAGCATTCCACATATCTAAATGCTCTTGATTTAGTAAAACTTTCAAAATTCTACCCTTACCACCAATACGTCTAACAATATACATTTTAGCATTATGCTTTTGACCAGGGGTTGGCAAAATTCTGGCCAAATCTAAGTGTTCAACTGTTGTACACCTGTGACCTAAGAATGGTTGTTACATTGTTAAATGGTTGAAAAAGTCAAAGAAGAATTATATTTAGTGACATGAAAATTATATAAAATGCAAGGTATGTGAAGAGATGTACATCCATGTTCATGAAACTCTTAGGTCCTGGTAGAGATTCAACTTTAAAAGGACTTCATTTATTACATTATATAGAAATTGTCAAAATGAAAGACAAAGAGAATATGAAAGGAGCAAGAGGATGACTGATCTCAGACAAGGTGATTCCCACAAAGCTATGAACAAATTTCAGCAGAAACATCACTGTTCAGATAGAGTAGATGATATATTCAAAGTGCTGAGAGAAAGAATAGCTGTCAGCTAAGAATGAGCAAAGGTTCAGAAATGAAAGAGCTATAAAGGTATTCCTAGATAAACATAAGTGGAGGGAGTTCATTACCACTAGAACGGACTCACAAGAAATGTAGAAAGGAGTTCTCCAAGCTGAAATAAAGGGTGTTAATTGGTAACATGAAAATATATGAATGTATATATCTTACTGGTAAGGGTAAATATATAATCAAATTCAGAATATGCTATACAGTAATGATGGTGTGTAAATAATTCTAGTAGAGTGATGAAAAGACAAAAGTATTGGCTGTGGGAGGGTGGGCTTGGGGTTGTCAGACTGAAGCAAATCCTGGGAGCTGGTGAGGTGGGGCATGGAGACACTGGTGCAGGATAGTATGATGACGTTGGAAGGTCTTTGGGGTATGCAGTGGGTCATTGATTGATGATCAGGCATTTTATTTTAACTTTTAGCTTTGTAACAGCTTAAGGGACCATGTGAGAACATGTGTGCAAACAGTTCAGAGTTTATATGCTCCTTTCTACAAATGATTTCCCAGCTCACAGTTCTCTGCTGATATATGAGTGGGGTTTGAGAATTTGGGGAACACCTGCAGCTTTGTAACTTCAGAGGTGTAATCAGTTAAAAAATTCACCTTTTGTGGAGTTGTGTTTTGTCAGTCATCCCTGCTAACTGAGCCCCAAGAAGGACTCCGTGAAAAATGACAGAAGAAGTCACTGTTATAGCGAAGGGTGTGTGTGTGTGTGTGTGTGTGTGTGTGTGTGAGTGTGAGGGGGGGGGCTAAATTGCTCAATAGGACCAGAAACTTAATTAACATCAAAATGAATCAGCACATGTGGCTACTGAATGACTCCAAGATGTGGTGGCGGGTGAGGAGGTGGCCAACAGGACAGGCCATGGTGCTGTCCATCTACATGGAGAGGAAGGGTGGCCCGAAGAAGGGCTCCCTCATGAAGAACCTGAAGAATACACTGGGCCTTGGCAATACCAAGAGGAAGACCAGCATGTGGGACTTGTCCCTGATACCCAGCACCGATGCTGAGTACCCTGCCAAGGGTCGAGTTGCCAACCCTATCTATGACCTCAACATCCCGGATTTTGTCAAGTTTGCCTACATGACTGAGAGGTTAGGTGAACTGTTTCTGGTAAAGGGGTCATGTGTCACTGCCATGGAGACATGCAGCAATGGCTGGTGATGTGGCAGCTACAACGGGCAGTTGGACCTGTTCCCTTTCAACAACATCCTGAGGAGGTAGGCAAGCTGGCCACCAAGTTCCAAACTTACTCAGCTTGCTGAAGGGCTCATCCCCTGTGTCCTGCATGTGGGCCATAAAGTTTACCTTTTCAGCTTGGCCACCGAGAAGCTCAAGTTCGAGAAGGGAGAGACTGAAGGTCATCGAGAAGCCTGGGAATGACCAGGAGAGGTGGAAATGCAAAAACACCTGGAGGCAGTCAGGCCTTGGTCCCCTTCTTCCCCCCAACTACAAGGTGGTGCTCAGCCATGGGCCTGCCCTGTCCACATTGCATGCCCCATACATCAGCTACCCGGGGTAGGGGCAGCGGGTGCTTTGCAGACAGAGAGTGGTGCTATGGCAATAACACACCACCAGGCCAGGTGCACCCTCAATGAGGGGTGCTGGAGGGTGACATCCTCACTGGGGACAGCGAATCCTTGCCCAGTGACTTGTCATGTGTCTCTCAAAGCATCGGGAAAGAATGAACATTACAAGGTACAGCTTGTGAAGAAAGTCTACTGCATCAGGCAGTGGCAGTTTCCCACGATGGACACTACAAAAAGGCCCCATCCTCACCGCGGGCATGGGGAGAAGCTGTACATCATCGGAGCGCTTCAGTGATGTCCTCCCAGGGCCCTGTCACCTCCAGGCCTTGGTGCCACACTTAGTTCCCCAGCGCTGAGCTGGTGGCTCCAAGGCATGGTGGGTCACCTGCTCTCCTGCAGCCCCTGTTCTGTCCAGTGGCTCCTCCCCTACTGGGGTCCTTTGCCTGGTTGATGTTTCTGTCCAAGTTCTTTATTTCCAAATGCCTCCCCTTTGCCATCCCAGCCCCTCATTCCAGGGTTTAAGGCCGCCCCTCCCTACTGCGGTCAGTTTTAGAGAATGAAAGATGGAAGAAGGCAAGTTTGTCCAGTTTATTCTTCTCAATTAGAAACACCCGAAGACTCTCCAAACTGTTATGCTGTCAGCGCCCCTCAGTGAAGACAGTGGGCTCAGTGGGGATGCACTGAAGCTGCCCTTGGTGAAGTGACCTAGGTGCCCTCCAAGGTGAAGGTCCCTGGTCCCAGCAGCCCTTTTTGGTGCCCTTTACACACACACACACACACACACACACACACACACACACACACACACAGACGCATGCACACACACATTATACACACACATACATGGACACTATACACATATTATACACACATTATACACACACACACTATACACACATTATATGCACACACATTTTATACACACACACACGCATAATTTTTTTTTTACAGGGAAGTTTTTCAGGATTTACAATGAATATGTGATTGGTAATAAGAGGCATAGAAAGTTTATGAAGAAATTGCATTCTGTTTTCTTTACATTTTTACTTCTTTATCTTTTCAACAACAGTCTTGAGATGGTACATTCCTACAGTAAAAGAAGGGGTCTTGACACCTCCTAAACCTGCATGCTGAGTCTCCTGGCTATTGTAATAAACAGTAGTATGACAAAACTGTGTGTGATTTATCTTAGGTAAACTCTGACTCAACGATGGGACAGCAATGACTGAGCATTTACTGAATGTTCAGGGCCTGAAGGGAGGAGTTTAACACATTTACTACTTGTGTGTTTTCTTTTTCAGTCACAACATTTTTTATTATATTGAAATCATAAATTTAATGAGTGAAACTCCAAGAGGAAAAAAAAAGAAAAAAGTATTAAAAATAACTCTAGTTAAAACAATTTGGAAATGGATACAAAATATAAAAATGTAAATTGTGATAGCAAGAACAAAAATATGGGGGAGTAAAAGAGGTTTTGTTGAAATTAAATTGTTATAAGCTTAAAATAGACTACTAAGCATAAGATATTTTATGTAAGTGTCATGCTATGCACAAAGCAAAAACCTATAGCTTATATACAAAACATACAGCAAAAGGAATCAAAGCACACCACTATAGAAAACCATCAAGCCCTGGCCACATGGCTCACTTGGTTGGAGTGTCTTTCCATGCACCAGAAATTTGCTGGTTCGATCCCCTGTCTGGGTATGTAGGGGAGGCAACAGGTAGACATTTCTCTCTCTCCCCCAGCTCTCTCTCTCTCCCTCTCTCAAAATCAATAAAAACATATCCTTGGTTGAGGATTAAAATGGAAAAAAAAGAAAAGGAAATAATCAGACCACACAGGAAAACACCAAGAGAGGAGGAAAGAAATAAAGAAAGCACATAAAAATAATTGACAAATTCTTCACTATCAATAATTACTTTAAATACTTCACTATAAATAATTACTTTAAATTACTTTAAATTAAATTCTCCAATCACAAAACATAGGGTGGCTGAATGGATAAAAAGTAAAAGCAAACCAACAATAAAACCCAAGACCTGACTCTATGCTGCCTGCAAGAGACTCACTTTGGCTTTAAGGACACACATAAACTAAAGGGAAGGGATGGAAAAATGTTCAGTGTAAAAGGAAGGAAACCAATGAGAGTAGGATTAGCAACTATTATATCAGACCACAACCCTGAAAGGACCCACTTGGAAAGCTGATGAATATTCTATTGAGATCCTCCCTGGGATCTCCTCTTAAAAGCTTTTAGGATGGAGAACCCAGTGCGCTCTCCCTCCTGGGTGCAAGCCCAGGCCTTTCTGCACCCCTTCCCTCCCATCCCCCATTACTATTACCTTTACTTTCCTCACTCCCAAGCTCCAAGGGCCCTTCTTTTGCTGCTGTAAGGTGTTTCTTGAACCCCTTTCTTCTACCATCCATTTCTGATACCTCTGTGATTTTCTCAGTAAAAGTTCTCTTACAGTTTGAGTCTTGGCTCTGAATTCTTCCCTAGTCAGAACGCTAATACCAAGGTCTGGTCTGACCCCTCTGCTCTAACACCTGGTGCTGTTCTTGTCGCCATCATCAACAGCACCAGAAAACAAGAGACTGGTCTTATCTAGGAGAGGTCAGGAGGAACCAGTGAGCCCACTGCAGCCTGCGCCACCCTCTCATTGGAGAATGGTGCCCTGACACTGCTGGGCAACTGTCCCGATCTGGGCTCCAGGAACTTTGCGTCTCTGGTTCTGCCTCTACCTCCCCACATATGTCATGATTCCTCTCTGTGCCTCAAGTCCCCTCATATGAGGCTGAGAGCCTCTGCCACCCACAGCTGTTAGTAGTAATAACATCGGTGGGGCAGCAACAGTAGCAACAGAACAGTTCATTGAGCACTTACTAGGAAGCGGACTCTGGAAGGTGTCTAACATGGATTACCTCTTTACCCTCCTACAGTCCAGGGGGCAGGCTCCTACCCTCTCATTTTATAGATGGAGAGAAGATGCAGAGAGCAGTGAGGCGACTTGCTCAATGTGGTCGTGCCAGGACTCGAAATTGCTTCTCCCCGACTCCATTCTGTGCTTATAGCACAAACCAGGCAAGTGGCCTCTTGGGAGGTGGGTGTGAAACCCACATCCTCCTGCTGGTGCCTCTTGAGAGTCAGCCTCTGGTCTCTCTGGCCCTCTGAGTGCTCCCTCCCAGGTGCCGTGAGGACCCATGGGCTGCTGGGAATGCACTTGGCATTCTTCCCCCAGAAGCCTCTTAGCTGCAGTCTAGTCTGAGTCTGGATTCCCCCTTTGACAAGGCAGTTCCCTGTCACTGTCCTGGGTAAGGTTTGGTGGGAGGTGCAGCAGGGTGTGGGTGGGAAGGAGATAAACCGCAGGCAGAGGGAGTTTTGTCTACTCACCTGACTTCATAGCTGACTCTTTCCGGGCTGCGACACACAGCTGGCTCAGGCCCATCTGCTCCCAGGTCTGCTGGGCCAGGTCCCAGGCCTGCTGCTCCCCGTATTGAGCCACCAGGCATGAGGCCACCTCCATGCCACCCACCTCCTCTGGTTGAGCTGGGGTAGCCCCAGGAGAGTGTTTGCAGAGATCCTTATCAGGCAGCCGCAGCAGGAACTCCCTCAGCTGCTCCTTGCTCATGAACTCCAAATTCCAGGCCAGCCTCTTCTGGACTCCTTCAGCCATCTTTGCTACATCAACCTGGTCTGCTGCACTGCATTTGTCTCTTGCCCTCAGCCGGAATCGTAATCGGAAGAGCTTTGGGTAGCTCACTGGGGAGGGAATGGGTGGTGAAGGAATCAGGCAGGCAGAGAAGAGCAGTCATCCTCGGTTCCTACCATCTCCCAATGCAACACTTCTACTTGGGTCATTATGGTCACCTGGAAAACTCCTATTCAGCATTCAGAACCCACTTTTGTAAACCCCAGGGCATCTGCCAACAGATGATGTTGGGAGAAGGGATTTGAAGGGGAGAGGCAGGAAAAGGCATAGGGAGGAGGAGTCCAGAGTGGGCTGGGAGTCACTGGAAGAGTTCAAGTTACTGAGTTGCTGGGTCTGATCTGGGGGCAGGCAGGAGTGTGAAGGGGGCAGGGATGGGAGGATGGGATGTTCAGGACACTCACTGTTCTGTGTTCCTCAGTCTCGTGAAACCTGGACTCTTTGGACCAAGCCTTGAGCTGCAATGCTGACAGGAGGTGGGGGAGGAGGAAGGCAAAGCACAGGGTGGGTTTTGAGAGCCCAGGGCTGGGCTCAGAGTTGCCCCATCCATGTTTCTTCAGACCTCTTCTGGCCCCAGGACACCAACCAGGAAGAACAGCCTCACCCAGCAAGAGAGAAACAGAAATCACCCAGAGGAAACCACATGGGGGTGAAGTGAGGGGAGGGGAGGGGCCATCATGGTTCTGAGCAGAAAAGAAACTTAGAGCCAAACACCCAGACAGGCCACATCTACAGTCTCCATCTATAGTGAGGCCAGGGGCACAAGGACAGACAGTCGGAAGCCCTGGATGCAGACCCAAGTAGCATGAGGTACTTGCATCTTCACATGAAACCCTGCCCGGGGCCCCCCTGTATCTTTCTGCTGAGCCAGGTTTGAGAAACTTCCGGAAGTTGAGTGTAAGGAAAGAGGCAGCTCTCAGGAAGGGCGGGGAGCCCTGAACCTTCCTGCAGAAGCAGGGTTCCAGAAGCCCAGGTCATCTCGGGACACCTGCTGGACCTCCAGTGTATGTGGGGTCAATTTTCAGCCGAAGCTTGCTAAGACTAGGGTGTCAGGGGCCGCCCCCACCTCTGGAATCATGATCTAAAGATCCACTTTTCTTGTCTCTCGTCAGGATATTTCTGGCAAAGTGAAGATCTTCTAGTGCATCAGTATGCCACTCGGGGTCATGGAAGTGGCTCACCCCACACTGAATCCTGTGTCTGCCTGAGGTGCCAAGAGAGGGCTTAGGGCTTTTTTGGTGCCACGTTCTTTAAAATATCCTGGTTTTAATGGCTCTGCTAGCATCCCACATACCTAAATCTTCTTGAGTTAGTAACACTTACAAAATTCCTCCCCTCTGACTAATACTTCTAATAAGTTACATTTTAATATTTTACTTTGGGTCTGGGGTTGGCAATCGCTGGCCACATCAAGATGGCTAACCTGTGACCTAAGAATGATTGTTACATTTTAAAATGGTTGAAAAAGTCAAGAATAATATTTCATGATATCAAAATTATATAAAACTAGAGGCCTGGTGCAAGTATTCATGCACCAGTGGGGTCCCTCGGCGTGGCCTGCGGGGATTGGGCTGAAACCGGCAGTCCAACACTGCCTGCTGCTCCTGCTCATCCTGGCCCTGTGGTGTCTGCCACACTTGCGCCCAGTCATTCCCAATCGGGAGAGGCTTGCATCACCACAGCAGCGCTCACCAGTCATGAGCCCTGTGGCTAGTGCCCATCCCGAGGGGGATGGGGGGAAGGCTGGGATGGGGATGTGATTGGCCCTCTGGGTGGGCTGTGGGACACCCTTGCTGGCCTGGAATCTGGATCCATCTCGCTGACATTAGTGTCTGGAGCCACCTGGCGGCCGCTTTTATATCGTTTCTTCCTTGCCAAGCCTCTAGGGAGGGAAAGCAGCCAAGGTGCCCCAGGCCGACTTCCAGGAGGCCTGCGGCATTGTCTGGATTGTGCCAGCAGTGCCAGTCCTCGGTGCCTGGCCATTCTCCAGAGATTGGACCTCAGGACTACTGAGAGAATGTGTGGCTGCTGACAGGCTGGTGGGATGCTGGGACAGGTCAGTCTGCTGAGTGGTGCTTTCACTGTGGGGGCACACTGACCACCAGGGGGCAGCTACTGCAATGAGCGTCTGCCCTCTGGTGGCCATTGCGTGTCATAGCTACCAGTCAACTGGTCATTTGGTTGTTTGGTCACTTAGGCTTTTATGTATATAGAAGATTATCAAAAATCAACAGCAAAGAGAATATAAAAAGAGCAAGAGAATGACTGACCACATACAAGGGGATTCCCTCAAAACTATGAGCAAAATTTTCAGCAGAAACTTCACAGTTCAGGAGAGAGTAGATGATACATTCAAAGTGCTGAAAGAAAAACAGGTAAGAATAATTTACCAAGCAAAGGTTCAGAAATGAAAGAGCTATAAAGGTATTCCCACATGGGGGTGGGACCAGAGGTGGGGAGGGGCCATCATAGTTCTGAGCAGAACAGGAACTTAGAGCCCTCACCAGCCATGAGCCTGGCTTCTGGCTGAGTGGCACTCCCCCTGTGGGAGTGCACTGACCACCGCTGGCAGCTCCTGTGTTGAGCGTCTGCCCCTGGTGGTCAATGTGCATCATAATAACGGGTCATTCTGCCATTCAGTCGATTTGCATATTATCTTTTTATGATATAGAATGGCTGATTAAATCAGGCCTTGGCGATTTCCTTAATCTCCCATCCCTCACCATGCCTTTGGTTTTCCGGTGACCAGCCTCCATTCTGAGGGCATTTAGAGGGCCTAGCCCCTACTCATTTCACTAGTATACAAAAATCTCTTTGAGCCCGCAACGCCGGTATGTGCCGTGACCAGGTATCGAACCCGTGACCTCCTGGTTGGAGCTCAACCACTGAGCCACATCGGCCAGGCGGGGAGCCCTTCTTAGTAGGTATCTTCTTCCTCAGGGTCCACACTAGTCAGCACTTCTTTGTTTGAGTGAAAGAATTACAGCTTGTGGTTTTTGCCTTTCTTTGTTCTCTCCAGACCACAGTTTGGGTTGCTACTCAAATCTGTGTCTCTCTGGAATTTGAACCTTTAAGACCCTAGATGAACTTTTAATTTGGTTTAGGGCCTCAAGCCTTTATTAGTTAACACAACAGGCAGCCCTTCCAAATGACATGGCCATACTCACCTTTAGTGCTAATGGAGCACCACTCCTTCACACTCATGCCTAGAGCTGGAGGTGCCTGTACCTATGGCCATCTTCCATGTTTGAACATGATTGCCTGATGCCCAGGGAGGGAGACCTGAAAGTGCAATTTGACTGCTGACGGTGCACTGGATGCCGAGAGCCAGGCTTTGTGCCCAGACCCCTCCCCTTCTCCAGCTGCATGCCTCCCCTGGTGGCCTCACCCAGGCTCGGGACTGTGAATGTCCCCCATGGGCTGATGTTCTCACATTTGTATCTCCAGCCCCAACCATCCCTCTGATTTCGGAGCCTTTATCCAGCAGCCTCCTCCAGCTCTTTACTTGGGTGCATCACAGCCATCTCAGACTGAACTCCCCAGACGGGGGCCCCCAATTTCACCATTTCCCGTATCCCTTTCAGCCTTCTCTGCCCACAGTCTCTTCATTTCAGGAAATGACAGTTTGGGCCCCAAACACTGACTCCTCTCTTTCTCTCAACCCTGACATTCCATCTTCCGTCTGGTCCTGCCAGTGTTATCTTTTTAAATAGATCCAGAACCTCATTGTCATCACACGCAGGGATACCCTGCCACATCCAACAGCCATAGTCTAATCCCAGATCACTGCACTGGCCCCCTGACTCTTCCCCTGGCTCTGAGGTTGCCCTCTAGTGTCTATTCTCGGACCAACGGCCAGAATTACACCTTTAAAACAAGTCAGGTCTGGACAATTCTCTGCTCAAAGCCTTCCAATACTCTCTGTTTCAATCAGAGAAAAAGCCACACACCTGTCAATGGTGCACGTGGCCACATGTGATCTGGCCTCTACCTTTCTCTGCCTCGCTTCCTCCCGCTGCTCTAGCCCCTCAGGACTCCTTTTGTCCCTGGAACAAAATCTCCTACCTCAGGGCTTTTCCCCAGCTTTTGCATCTTCTTGAGATGATTTTTCCCAGACAGAAGGCTTATCACCTCACAATCTAAAATGCAGCAACCTCCTTCCCCCAGCTCCTACTAGACCTCTTACCTTGCTTTATTTATCTGTCCAGCCCTTTTCTTACCTTGACCTGATTGATTTGTTTATTTGTTTACTTTCTGTCACTCTCAGCTGCCATTAGAATGCTAGGCTCCTCCTTGAAGACAGGCTTCTTACTTTGTTTGCCATTGCACTTCCTGTGCCTAACACAGTGCCTGGCCCACAGTATCAGAGCAGTAAAAACTGCATATATTGAATACCTTTGGAACTATTTCCTTTATCTTTCTAAACAGCTACTCACTCTGGCCATTAGATGGCAGTCAAGTACTTCCTGTGCCTTGAAACAGTGGAGGACCCTTTGAGGCAGCGGTTCTCAACCTGTGGGTCACGACCCCTTTGGGAGTTGAACAGCCCTTTCATAGGGGTCACCTAAGACCATCGGAAAACACATATATAATTACATATTGTTTTTGTGATGAATCACTATGCTTTAATTATGTTCAATTTATAACAATGAAATTGGGGGTCACCACAACATGAGGAACTGTATTAAAGGGTCTTGGCATTAGGAAGGTTGAGAACCACTGCAAAGGATAAGCCAGAAAAAAGTAGAAAGCATTATTTCTGATTAATAGCAGGAACATTTTTCAAACTCAAATAGATAAGGTTTCTATTCTTTTAAAAGTTCTAAGTCCAGTCAAGAGCTAGGAACTGTTCATACCAACAAAAGTTTCTGGAGGGGAAACAAAAGCAGTGGTTGTTCCTATTAGCCCAGCAAGGCAATCCCAGCCGTTTGACAATTCATTTCCCCAACGTCTGTGTATTTCAGGCTTAGGTACATTGTGCACCGAACACCAAAAGCTGAAATTTTTTGTTTAAAATACAATCTAGTCTATCCATTCTCCCTTCCCCTGTGCCTTCTCGTCCTCTTTCTAATCTCTTGTCCAGACCGAAGAAAATATCAGGACTTGGGGTCTCCCTTTAGCATGGTTTGCTTTTACTCTCCTGGCAACTTTGACAGGAATACACACACCCACATTGCCATCTTGCAAGAACCAACAATACAGGTGCAAAGTGGTCACAAGGCAGATTAAGGACAAACACCCAACTCACTTCTCTAACCTAACCTGCAGGTGTAGTTCTTCCAAAGGCCACACCGGATTTACATCATTTAAACCGAACGCACCCTGTCACAAGTATTCTCACTTGGCCTTCTTCACTGCACTTAAGTCTCAATCAAGCATAATGACTGGTGCCTGTCTTACATGGGTAAGAGGACCCAGCAATGGGGGTCTCTTCCTAGAACCCAAGTAAGACACACGAAGTCTCCACCCTAGAAGGAAGAAATCATGCATGACTTTTAGAAACTCATTTTACTCTGAAAACATTTCAAACTTACAGAAAAATTGCAAGAGTAGTGCAGTGAACTCCCACTTAGTCATTACCTAGATCAGGGGTG